CAACTCTGACGCTTAAGAGCGTTTTTTTTTTATTTTTTTATTCAACATGCAATATAAAATATACAGAATGCAAACAGAGAGAAGAGCAACGCTCCGGCCACCGAGTCTGAAATAAATTATGCATCATAGCAGCAGAGCTCTTAGTGACCACCACCATGTTAATTTCATTTTTTATGTTCATTAAAGTCGTTTTATATATTTACCAGTAATTTATGAGGGTCATGAGGGAAAAAATTAATCAGAGCTCACGCAGCTGCTTCCATTGTGGAACAGACCGGCACATGTATGCATTTTTTATGCATGCATAAAACAGATTATGTATGTATATATAATACATTAGGACATTGTATGTCAAATCAGGCATTCATGTGGATACACTGCCAGGATTCAGTCTTACCTCCATCTGCTGGCGGCGCATCTAAAGGAAATGACAGGAAATTAGTGTCCATCGTGTGAAAACAACATTCAATTATATTGTACCTATATGCTTTTGTTAAGCTAATGCAAATACATTTTTAACTATAGTATCTCCAGAAATAATAATAATATTGCTGAGCAATGAGAGAAAAGTTTTAAATTTGACCCAAATCATTCGATCAACAAACACTTGCAGACATTTTCTCACACTCTCCATGCCTGCAGTGAAATGCAGTCCAAAGGTCAATGTGGGAAACGCAGCGCATGGATGCAGAAAATGCATCCATTTGCACTCAGTCAGTATAGATTATAATCCACATAAATGGATTATCTTCTCTGCCTCATTCAGAAAAAAGTCCATAAACGTTCAAATTCACAAAAACTCTGAGGAATCATTAAATTAAATATATTCAACCATTATTACAAAACAAAAGAAAAAAGATTGATACAGTCACGTGCAAAAGTATTCACACCGTTTCAAACTTTTAGCCATTTTGTCAGATTATAACTTCATCGAGATTTTTGGGGGGATAGAACAACATACAGTAGAAAAACTTTTTAAAAATGATGAATTCCGGATTTTGAATCAGTAACTGAAAAAAATATGCATAAGGATCTTTTGGTGTATCTACAAGTTGTTAATGTAAATCATAGGTGTCAAACTCATGGCCTGGGGGCCAAATCTGGTCCGCCGTAGCTTTATATGTGGTCCTCTAGACTCAAATTTACATCAATAAGTCCTTCTGGTTTTTCACAAATCTGCAAAATTCACACAGGAGTCCTGTTTTCCTATTTATCCAGCAGAAAATCTCACTAAAATGCATTAAAGTTTGCAGATTTATGAGTGAAAAATGAGAGAAAAGTTTAACGGGTTGGAATATTTTGCAAAGTTACTGATAAAACTGCATCATCTTCCTACAACCTGGTAGAAACCTGGTTTCTGAAAGATTAAACCACTCAACAAAGAGGTTTTTATTAAAATATAATCACGCCACCTGAACCCACTCAGGTCCACACACATAAAAAAAAAAATCACCTCAAATCAAAGACAATAGAATCACAGAAAGCCTCTCACCTTCATCAGCTGCCGATGCATGTTTGTTTTACGCAGCATAACAAGTTATATCATCATAGAAACAAAACGTTAGAGCCTAACAGCAGAGGAAATTCAAACCACATTCAATTTACAAATGATGTAATGTACAAAAGAGCAGCTTTTCACCCAGAATGCCAGAAGGTATTAATATCCCCGTTCTACAGCATACAGTAGAAACACAGCGCTATTTATAATTTAAATAGAGATGCTCTCCTGACAGAACGTCCATGAATAAATAAAAAACAATGTGAAAGCTGATTAAAAAGTGTTTGAAGTCTGCATGAAGCCAGCACTCGACATGATTTGTGAGTAAAACTCTAAAGGAAATATATATGAGCCATAAATGTGTCACAAAGTGATAATAGAATAAATAATAACATAAATAATGGGAAATGCTGACTTACCCTCCGCCGGTTTAGCTGTGAAACAGAAAAAGAAAACTGTTACTTACACACATCATTTACATTTTACACACACATTTATCAGAACGCCTGGTAAAGATGTAAACATAATCTTCAGTGAGTTTCATTTTTGTAGGAAATAGAAATAAAATCATGTTTGCGTTGATCTCTCTAGAGTCGGACGTCCTCTTTTCCTCTTCTCTTCAACATCACATTTCAAGATTAAGGGAAAAAGTTGATTTGGTGGATGGTTGTGTATTTCTACTTTGATTTGGCTGTTTATTTTAGATTATTAGCACATTTAAAACCCAGTGATGACCCACCCTTTCAAGGATTCTTTGTTTCACACCAGATCAAAGTCCCAGTTAAAGTCCCAGAAGCATTTAGAGAACTCTTATTTGTGATGGTGGGACAGAGAAAATCGTTGATTTTTTTTCCCATTTTTCTCCCACTGCATGGGGCCAAACTGTGTTTCCTCATCCTGCCTGGAGGCCAGAGGCTAAAAGAAGTACAAGTCTTTGTCACAACATTTTAAAATCCAACAGAAGCTAATTCAAAATTTAAAGAAAGAGTTTCTGGGCTGCTATATTTTCTTAACAATTTTCTGTTTGTATTTTTAAAAAATGTCAGCGTTAGATTCTGCAAAGTGATAATTTATTTTAAAGCTTTTAGGGTAACTGTATATAAAGTTACATGAGGATGGTAACCTGTATAGATATTGATAGATGTTAAACCTTAGAAGTGTCTTTTAATTACATGTTGTTGACAATATTTATATAGACGTTTGCCTGGAATTGACGGCTTTAGATAAAGCAGATACTTCAGGAATGTTTTAGCTCCAAAGCGACGACATAAATTTAACAGGAACAGGAAGGTTCCCCTTTGAAATTTCATGTGTCGCATCTGGACCAGATCTTTGAAAAGGATATTCTGATGTAGTGACATGATTTAAAGGGTTAAGCTAGAGCTATAAAGTACGGAGGGGATGTGCCTTTTTAATGAGGGTGTCTTTGTTGAGACCTAATTCGGGTAAAAGAAAATTCTCAACTGAAATAGAGGCGTATGATTTACCCCAGGCTCCCCAAGTGTCTGTTGGGGTCACTTCAGTGGATCTTAAAGGCCAGGGACGGTGTCTAATGACCTCTCTGAAGCCAGGCCACGTTCTCTCAAGCTGCACGCACTTTCCTTGAATAGTAAGCCGAGTCAACAATAAGACCTTCACCTCTCGCTCAGAAATCCCCCAAAACAATCAAAAGTTAGAAACTCTGTCTGTAGTCATTTCTTTGATTACCAAATATATTAGTGTATGTGAGAGAACGCATCAATGACAGGGATTAACTTAAAATACTTTGTAGAATTTAGTTCATTTACTTGCATTACTTGGACGCTGAGACGTATCACAGCAACAGGCCGACCCGCCCCATGAGGCGTCTAGGTCAAGAGCATTATGCTAACGGCTGTTAGCATGGCTAATTCCCCCTTTAAATGAGAACCGTTATTCCTCCTAGCATTATGCTAATAGCTGTTAGCATGGTTATTTCCCCTTTTAAATGAGAACCGTTACTCCCTCTCAGCATTATGCTTATGGCTGTTAGTGTGGCTAATTAACCCTTTAATTCAGAACTGTTATTCCTCCTAGCATTATGCTAACGGCTGTTAGCATGGCTATATCCCCCTTTAATTGGAATAAGTGTGTAAAAAACCAAATTTTTAAATTCTCTTAATAGTGATCTACTTTTAGCAACTGCAGCCTATCGGGTGTGAAGTCTTAGGAAGCGAGCTGCACGCACTTTCCTTGAATAGTAAGCCAAGTCAACAATAAGACCTTCACCTCTCGCTCAGAAATCCCCCAAAACAATCAAAAGTTAGAAACTCTGCCTGTAGTCATTTCTTTGATTACCAAATATATTAGTGTATGTGAGAGAACGCATCAATGACAGGGATTATGCTAACAGCTGTTAGCATGGTTATTTCCCCTTTTAAATGAGAACCGTTATTCCTCCTAGCATTATGCTAACAGCTGTTAGCATGGTTATTTCCCCTTTTAAATGAGAACCGTTATTCCTCCTAGCATTATGCTAAAAGCTGTTAGCATGGTTATTTCCCCTTTTAAATGAGAACCGTTATTCCTCCTAGGATTATGCTAACAGCTGTTAGCATGGTTATTTCCCCTTTTAAAAGAGAACCGTTATTCCTCCTAGCATTATGCTAAAAGCTGTCAGCATGGTTATTTCCCCTTTTAAATGAGAACCGTTACTCCCTCTCAGCATTATGCTAATGGTTGTTAGCGTGGTGATTTCCTCTTTTAAATGAGAACCGTTATTCCTCCTAGCATTATGCTAAAAGCTGTTAGCTTGGCTATTTCCCCTTTTAAATGAGAACCGTTACTCCCTCTCAGCATTATGCTAATGGTTGTTAGCATGGTGATTTCCTCTTTTAAATGAGAACCGTTATTCCTCCTAGCATTATGCTAAAAGCTGTTAGCATGGTTATTTCCCCTTTTAAATGAGAACCGTTACTCCCTCTCAGCATTATGCTAATGGTTGTTAGCGTGGTGATTTCCTCTTTTAAATGAGAACCGTTATTCCTCCTAGCATTATGCTAAAAGCTGTTAGCATGGTTATTTCCCCTTTTAAATGAGAACCGTTACTCCCTCTCAGCATTATGCTAATGGTTGTTAGCGTGGTGATTTCCTCTTTTAAATGAGAACCGTTATTCCTCCTAGCATTATGCTAAAAGCTGTTAGCATGGTTATTTCCCCTTTTAAATGAGAACCGTTACTCCCTCTCAGCATTATGCTAATGGTTGTTAGCATGGTGATTTCCTCTTTTAAATGAGAACCGTTATTCCTCCTAGCATTATGCTAAAAGCTGTTAGCATGGTTATTTCCCCTTTTAAATGAGAACCGTTACTCCCTCTCAGCATTATGCTAATGGTTGTTAGCGTGGTGATTTCCTCTTTTAAATGAGAACCTTTATTCCTCCTAGCATTATGCAAATGGTTGTTAGCGTGGCGATTTCCCCTTTTAAATGAGAACCGTTACTCCCTCTCAGCATTATGCTAATGGCTGTTAGCTTGGCGATTTCCCCTTTTAAATGAGAACCGTTACTCCTCGTAGCATTTTGCTAACAGCTGTTAACATGGTTTGCTTGTGGCTTATTTTCCCTTTTAAATGAGAACATCAACCAACACATTCAAAAACAAAATGGTACTCGACTCGGAGTGCTGTACAAACTTCTGAGAGCCGGTTAGAGAACACAACACCTGCATGGAGGTAAATCTGCATCAGCATCTGCTGGTGTAATCCACCGGGAGAGGCGAGAGTCTTGATCATCAACAAGTTTGGGATGAAGCCGGGTAATCAACTTCTGCACAGCTGTTTCTCACAGTTTAAATGTTTCCCTCAGAGGTACCATGTGCAGAACCGTGCAAGACTCATAATTAGTCTAATTTTTAATGCTATGTAGGTCAATTCTGCAAAATACACAAATGTTGGGGAGAGGGCTGCATATTTTGTTCTTTTAGAAGAACTTTTCTGCTTTTGTTAAAGTTTAACACTGTGATGCCACAGTCAAATGTCTGTGAACTCCACTGAGATGTGCAACTTTTACTCTGATCCTCCTAAATAAAATTAGCAGTCTTCCGAAACCCCTCGTGTGTAATCTGAATAAATACAGATCTTATTTGGGGATTCGAGGTTTTCTGATTGAATTTTTTTTAATAACCATGTATCAGTTTCCTTTTGTGGATGTAATGGGACACAAGGTCAGAAAGCTCAAGGCACTTCACGTTAAGGTTTGTTTTCTCTTCTGTGAAAGAATCAGATCAGCTCCTCACCTCGCCGTTTGTTTACTTTTCTAAATTTGACTCTGACAATCTGATTTACAGCGTCGTTAACGACACGGACATAAAGACACGCTGGGTTTACGGCTGCAGCTCACCCGCAGATATCATAACACATTTTTTTCTCATTTACTAACCCATGCCAAATCCACTTCTTCTGAGGTTGCATTATGACCAGGACAGAATTTAACAGGAATTCTTTATCAAATTTATACCAGCCACTATCAACACTTTGATTATTTTTGCAGGATCCCAGTTGTGTGAACATTTTAAATGAAAACTCTCACATCTAGACTGAAATATATACAATTTATATATTCGGTTTTTCTGCTTTTTGTAAAAGTTTGCCTTAAAATTATACAACTTTTATTTTTAAAAGCAGTTCATTGGAGAGCTGCCACTCAGGGTAGGAGTTTCCTTTTCAGTTTCGGTTTATTGTTTCCTCATTGATTTCGAAGTGACAGATAGTGTTCATAAGAGTTTTTTAAAGACACTATTATTCACTGACAAAGAAATAATTAATCATGTCATCATTTTAAGTCAAGGTTCTTGTATCCAGACAAAGATAAACGGCACTGAGGGACTGGAAAAACTTCATGGAGCAGTTATGGTTCAATTTACTCTCACAGTGTTTCATCAGCACACAGTGATGAAGGGAATTATGATCATGAATCACAGCATCGCCTCCAACCATTGACTAGAAAACTGTCTTGTGTTTGATGGACTGCCTTGGAGGCGAGCCAAATCCAGATCGGCGCATCAGGCCTCCTGACCGAGGAGGAACTTTCTGGTTAAAACTGGCAGATTACACCATGATTTATCTCCACCGGGACAGCAAAGTGGAAAGGCAAAACCCGATACCGCGGGGTGGGGTGAAACTCGATGAACTTAATGGGGGAAAAAAGTGTGAAAGGTCACCGCTTATTCCAGAGTATTTTTAGCAATTAGTTGAGAGGCGGGATCAGGCTGCTATTGACTGAAGCAGCTCAGATTTTGTTTCAACTTATCTTGGAGATCAGAAATAGTAAGCCGAAACGTTGAGAAATAAAATGTTCACAGCTCTGAATCAAATTGTAATTAAACGAAGCTGACTGGAAAATTAAGTCCTGCACTTTGATTGCATCCTAAGATCTAAATTAGTTAGGCATTGAAATTGCAAGACGGGGAATTTTTAAATTCTCTTAATAGTGATCTACTTTTAGCAACTGCAGCCTATCGGGTGTGAAGTCTTAGGAAGTGAGCTGTATGAGGAGGATTGTGTCGTCGATAGTTTTTACCTTCATATCTGACTTATGTAACTGGATACTTTTGGCACACAGGCTTCACAGTGAGAAAGTCGCAGGTTATCTGAACAACCATGAAGTTATTTATTTAACAACCAAAAGTGGGATCAGCTGAATGTTTCGGAAACTGGAGTTTGATAACTCTTAAGTTTTGATAAGTGTTTAGAAAACCCAAGCTACCTTTGTCTTCAGGAAACACAAGACATGCAAGTCTTTAGAATACGTTACCTAGCAGAGTGTGTAGAAAACGTAAGTTTGATAACTGATAACAGGACTCAAACGAGCTAAGTCTGTAGGAAACTTGAGCTAATTCAAATTAGTGCTTTAGTAGCTTAAGCTCCTTATATACGATGCAAGAACTTGGAACACAAGAAGAACTGAAAAAAAAAAGTTCTGTTCAAGATTTTACAAACTATGCAAAATAAAGCTTGAAATTTCTTTTAGTTTTTTTAATCAGAGTGGTCAGGAATAACACTTTCCTTTTTTGTTAGGACTCTTCAGATTTCACAAGAATTCAAGTAGGATCTTCTTAGAAAGTCCTTCCCGATGTGACATTATGTTACAACGTTATGTCATTTGGTTCCTGCGTCTAAATCTGTAACTCCCTTTTCACAGAGAGAAGAGAATATAAAACTTTGTACATTTCTGCGTTTCTTCCGTTCTTGTTTTAGGGCAGCATGTTTTAGAAGTACTTTATCATGAAAGAATGCAAAATACTTGAATGCAACGTAACGATTAAACACAAAAAACTTTGAAATAGCCGTAAAGCGTGTTCTCTATGCGATGCTCTGAGGCAGAAACTGAAACATGAACCCGAGTCCCTCAGAGTTAAGCTGCAGTATAAGTATCATTAACACAGTAGCAACTCTGCTGCAAATCAATGGAGACAGCGAGGATGAGTCTGGTGTCTTTCACAAATACACAACCATGATGTCACAGCAGGTGGATGGGTCAAAGTTACGGCACATAAAGCTACATTTATAAACTTAAAGTCTAGAAATAATTTAATGTCCTGCATTTCTTACAATAACAAGAAAGTTTTGTTTTTGCGTCATTATATCACTTTTCTCTATCTTCTCTAACACCTGCAAAATGAGGAATTTCACTGTAACAAATGTTTTTTTTTATTTTATTTTGGGGTTTAACTTGGGGAATTAAATACTCTGAAGTTTGTTACTTACAGTTTGAGTGTAATAAGTACAAACAATCCACTTTTTCTTTTCTTCCAAAACAATCATAGCAGCTTTTAGCTTGTTTTCATAAGTGAACGCTTTAAACTTGCTTTTCTCACATAAATATTTGAGATGATTCCACTTATTTCACAACATGCCTTAGAAACAGTCAGCATCGTGTATTTTAAACGTCAAACCAGAGCAGGATATTTAAATTCAAGCATCAACACTGTGACTTAACCAAGTCTTTGTCTGTAATTAAGATAAATTATGCCGTTATAACAAGTATCTGCATACCTTCAGGGACTGGCTCAGGCATGGTTATTCCTGCGTCTCCTCTTTTTTGCTGGATGACTGAGAGCTTGTGGGGCTTATTCCTTTTATTTCTCCCCTCTCTGTGTTATTCAAAGCTTCCCTGGAACTCAAGTCCCCCCACACCCTTCAGTGAGCAACGAGGTCTGCAGAGACTGATGACGCCATTGAGGAGTTCAAGACGAGAAGCGCTGAGAGCGCCAGCAGGAGACAATGCGGTGAGGTAGTGGTGAAAAGGGTCTCGCAGATTTACAGAACCAAGGATTTAATAGGCTGGGTAAATCTGTCAGGCTTTAAAATCCTTCAGAAGAACGCAGAATCCACCAAGAGGAGTGTCAACTTTAACGGCCAGACTAATCTTTCAATTAACTCCCCTTACACTGGCATTAAGAACTGGATCAACAAGTCTTTGCAAATAAATGCAATACTTTAACAGACATGTTGCTCCCTGTGAAAAGGGAGTTACAGATTTAGACGGATGAGCTCAAAAATCCACCAAACAGATGACTGGGACTTTTTCTCGCTTGAATTTTTGAAATGAGAAAAGTAGGAGCTTTGATGCCTTTTTTCATTATGCATTAAACGTATTCAAAATGTTCGCATACATCATGTAATAGATGAAGAGAAATCCATCTGACGACCTTAAAATTTTCATATGCAACCTTTTCAGGGGACGGTGAAAAGAAAGTCTGAACCCAAAGTCGAGCTGGAGGTTACTTACATTTTCAAACACTTTCCCATCTGGGCTTCTATTCATCTTTCTATTCTTAATGTTGCATTTTTATCATTTCAGATCCTGGTAAAGATCTGTTTATTTTTATGTGAAACCGTATTGGTGTGTTCTTTTTAAAAATGTTTACGTATTTTCTTAATCGTGGAAACGTGACTGGATGAGAAGTACATTATTTTTACCATCAAATGTTTTAGCTGAGGCAGTGAGGTTGCTGGTGCTGTAGCTCCCTCTACTGGAGGCTCTGACAAATAGCGCTTTTACATAATACCATCTAGCACAGATGCTAACAGAAATGTAGTGCGGTTCATTTAACCGCACTACATAACTAATTTTATTCATAATATTCTAAATGGGTTTTTATACTTTCACATTTGTCGTCATGTGAAAGACAAATGTCTAAACCTAATGTAAAGGTTTAGTCGTTATGAAATTTCTTCTCCTTTGTACTTTTTTCAGCGTTTCAGATATTAGAAACCCCGGTAAATACAAAAAAAGATTTTCAAATGATAATTCCCCTTAACAAGGGTAAAAAATAATCAATCTAGCTTCTTGTTAAATATTAATCTGTTAGATTTTCTAGTGGTACAGACTAATGAAACGCAGGTTTGTTTCCAGGTCTGTACAGAACCAGTAAGATTTTGGCTACTGGGAGGTTAAGATGTCTGAAAATAAAATTCACCAAGAAGAAATCTGAACTGTCTGCTTTAACAGCACTGGGGGGATTATGCAATTTCTTAATTCAGACATTTAAACATTTTATTTTGAAAGGCATAGTTTCAGCTGTATTAAGCTTAATTTGACCTCAATCCGGTGGCATCATTTACTTCAAAATCACTTCAAACAGAGGAAAGGAAACCTGAACAATTAAAAATTAACATTAATCTCAAAACATAACCAATGAGAGTAACTGAATTGACAAACAATAAACAAAAACGGCAAGATGTGAAAAAAATAAATGAATAATAATTTCAATTTGGGTTTCTACAGCTTCCAAAAAACAACCTGAGCGTTAGTTGCCAAAAACCAGGTGGTTTGTGGCAATTAATGTTTTTCACAAATCAGCAGGGACCCCACCGTTACCAAGCAACCCAGGCTGAGCTTCACCATGTTTGGTCAGCTGGTTTTACCGCCGCCGCTTTATTTTGTTGTTGACGTACCGTCCAGAAAGCAGGAAGTGGTTTCTAGTTGATTGTACAGGAGGCTACACTTCTGCTTTTTAAAGATGTACGGTTGTATAATTGTGCATTTGTTGGCAGCCATTTTCACATAAAAGCCTAAATGTTGAATCGGGTGGGAATGGGCAGCAGAAGCTTATTTAGATTTAAAGTGACAAGATGCCCCAAAAAGGCTCAATCTGAAAGGAGATCAACATTGGTAGAACTGAGCAGATTAAAATCTCATTATGTAACAAACAGACCTAATCTAACTGTTGAAGGAAGTAAAGGTCTCCTTTACTTAATTAAATGGTTCAATAAAAATCTCTTAAGCTGAATTTTCCAGCTTATTTATTCCTACATTGTTGTCATATGTATCTGAAATTTAGCAAAAGAATTGTGCATTCTTTTAGTATCCAAAAGAAAAGAGATAATATATGCATTGGCAGCTTGTGGCAACAAACTGAACTTTGTGCTTCTGTATCTCTTCCCAGATGGCAAAGTGATTCTGAGGTCCTGTGAGGCGGAACGGGCATCTGGAAGTCCGTTTTACAGCAGACGTGGTGTGAACAGTGAGCTAGCCAATGCTAGTAACTCTGCACCCTGTAATATCACCTACAGCAGAAGTCCATCTCCTGTTCCACTGACCTCCCAGTGGGGGTTCAGGTCCGGTAGTCGGCTTGTCTTAATTAGTCTCCCAGCTCTAGCAGCCCCATCATTTACCAGCAATGTGCATGCATCAGCTGGAGCCACGGCAGAGACAAGGGTCGAAGTGTGAACCTGAGAACGGCGCAGGACCACCAGAAAGCTGCGGCGGCCCAAAAACACCAGAAGGAAAACAGCTTGGAAAAAAAATAAAAAATTTGAGCTGCATGTTATTCAATCAGATCGTCTCGTGCTGAGAAAAGAGGCTCCTTCTTTTTTATATTTATATATATTTAGTGTGTATGCAGAATGGATATTGATCGTTCACTGCAGGCTTCTCTCAATAAAGCATAGCTGAGTGCACTCATTTGCACAGCGAGGTGGCAGCCAGTGAAGCATATTTATGTTAAAAATAACCAGGATGAAGATTTCTAACTCATGCAGAGGCTACACTGCAAAACCCAAAACTTATCAAACACTTCTGGTCTATTTTATAGTGCATATATCTTCAAATAAGACAAAACTGACTCAGAAGTAACTTTTCATCAGCCTATACAAGTTTGTTTTATGTCAGTATTTTCACAGGCAGATTATTTCACTTATGGGAAACATTTACTGTCATGAAATAAAAATCTCTGCTGGTGTATTTTTATCAATATTAATGAGTTAGTGGCTTTAAACAAGCACCTGTAAATTTATGAAAAGTTACTCGTAAGTTAGTTTTGTCATATTCCAAGCGTAATGCACTCTAATGCACTTTAATTACAATATCAAGTTGAAATAACTTATTTTGCTGGAGGATAATTTAAATTCTTGTTTCAAATTGCATGAACCAAATTTCTGATCTGATGATGAATTTTATTAAACATCTCAATGAATTCAGCTCAAACATTGAGTGTGATCAGGACATCATCCTCTCAGCTGCACTAAAATAAACATTTGCCTTAATAACACAAGAGTCAGATCAATGTAACGCACTTCCATCAGGATACAGAAACTCACTAAATTTAATTATAGAGAGTAGAAGATAACAGACACAACTAAATGTTTTACAGTAAGATATTTGCACTAGAAACTAAATAATCAACACTGTTTAGTTTCTATTGCAAAATCTTCATGATAGATTAAGATTTTGTGGTTTTGCAGTGTAGGAATAAATGTAAGAATCCATAAAAAGCTTTAGAGCAGTATATGTGCTTAGAATATACTTCAAATAGTGATGGCTCTTCAGTTCATGATTATAACTTGTATGTTGTACAGGAACATGAAGCCTGCATTTATAAACCGACTCTTCTACTGTCTGCATCCGGTGCATCTAACGCGATTAGTCGGTGATTATCCAGAATCTGTGCTTTCATTAATTTGACTTGAATTTCGTCGAGAATTTGCTTTACATAGCAAGAAATCTGGCTGACGCAGAGTTCTTGTTTTAGAAAAGAGAAGACGCGCTGCACAGCTGTGAACCAAACAAAACCGAGCCACTATAATGAGCACACTGCGCCAGAGCTGGAGTCGCTCACCTACAAATGCTTCTCATTAGTACGGCTAAGCTGCCTTCATTTTTCTACCTTTCATTTTAATAAAGCTGCAGAGGTCGACTTGTTTCCGTTACTCAAACTGTTCCTCCAGTTCCTTGCAAAAGTTTGCATAAGCTTTGAGCTTATTTCCATTTAGTTACATTAAAACTACAAACTTTTATGTATTTTTGAATGTGACCCTTTATTAATTCGTGTTGTGAAGATGAAGGAAAATATTTGGGTTTTATTCCTGTATGCTACATGAGTCACACTCAAGGCCCATGGGCCAAATCCAGCCTGCCATAGCTTTTTATCTGGCAGTCTAGATTCTAGACTAAACACCAAGTATGCTTAAATATTATGTTATCAATGCAATCAATGCAGTTTTTATCTGTTAACTGCCAAATTATATCGATCAGTCTCTCTTATTTCTTGAGAATCATTGTGAAAATTTATGAAAATCAACAAATCTCTGCACTTTATTGCACTAACTGGGAGTTTATTAGAAAGTTTTGTCAAAAATTGTTAAAAACTTCCTTACTTGTACTAAACAGTTGCCTCAGCTTTAATTAATGTCAGGTCAAAGTCCATGATCTATACAGCGAGTAACAAAAGGTCACATAAATAAGAGCAAATATCGCAAATCTTTCCAAATTAGTAACACAAACACTTTGATTTTTATTGCAAAAAAAATCACAAAGACCTGGAGGGACTGAAAAGATGTTCAAAAATATTTAACTTCTAGAATTAATTGCGATTTTAACAAATTGCGATCAGGTTTTATCAATACATCCTGGCACAACCGGCCCTTTAAGAGCATTCATGATCTTGATTTGGCCCAAAACCAAAATGAGTTTGACTCCGCTGTCGCCTCATCTTTTATAAAGTCTGACAAAACAAATACTTACACTGACTGCTTATCAAGCTTGAAGATTTGTTTGTAATATCTGCCGTGAAACAATTTGGCTGTGCTGAGATTTTTGGTGTAATAAATTTGAAAAGTTTACCGGCCGCTCCAAACCCGGCGCAACAATCTGATAAGGTGGAGCATAAATATCTGGGGACTTTCACAGAGAGAAAACGTCAAAGGCTCTCAGATATGATTTATTTGCTTTTTGCAACAGAAAATCAAAGCTTTGTATTCCAGCTAACAAAATGAGTTTGTTTCAACAAGTGCTGCTGTTAACGGCAGCTGGACCTCTGACTAGCACAGGAAAGCTGATGGAAAACTTTCTGACTTGTAGAGAAGTTAAGACTCTCTGGCTGCTCTTTTCACTGAGATGAATTGCAGAGCGAAGCCACCAGAATGTTTTTCTGCTCAGATGGTTAAACTTACACCCAACAGCTTGGAGTTACGCAACTGATCAATGAGCTGAACATGAATGACCAGCTGGTATCAGCGTTCAGTGAGTTTTTCTCTTTTAATATTTTTTATTTTATTGTTTTATTAATTTTACATGCATAAAAATAAATCTTAGTCAAAAAAATATAAAATCAGACAATAACGTTCTGTTTTCTTAAGTAACTTTGACCATGTTTTGTTTTTACTGAACGGTCTAACGGCGCCATCTTGTGGTTATTTTAATCCTGAGGGTTAAGCTTTTATTTCTTGTATGTTGTAGGACATTTAATCTAATTTAGCTGCAGCTAAGGAAATATATATATGGGCTTGTGTTTTTAGAAAACCAAATTGCAAGAGAGAAAAAATGTGAGCTTCACATTTCCAAGGCGCAGAAAATGCAGCATAACTCAGACATACGATTTGTAGGCAAATTAATTTGGCTAAATTCTACACCTGCTAATTCAAATTGCTTATAGTTGAAAAATAAATATATAAAGTTGTTGATATCTTGAATTAAAAAAACTTTGAACATCCCAAAATGACATTAATTAAATATTGTTTATATTTAGCCAACTACGATGTTGGCTTTAAATGAAAATTAAATGAATCGTCATGTATTTTTTTGTTATTTGTGAAAAGCAGCACTGCTGAGCTGCAATCTGATAAAGGACAAATGAATAAGAAAAATGGAGAAAAGGAATAAATAATGAAAACAATAAATAAATGTATAAGTAAATAAATAAAATTGGAATAAAGATGCAAATTACTTTAGGATTTAACAAAATATTTTTTTTCTTCTGCACATTTCTAAGTTTATGGACAGTTATATAATGAGGAAGATGAAGTCGAGTTATCAAAGTATTCTCAGAGTTTAGGGTATTTTCTGCTCTCCTCTGTTTATTTACATGCATGTGGTCCAGCTTACTATGTCTGGATCTTCTTTCCTGTCATCAGCTCGATCCTGTGGATCTGCTTGGTGCTTCTAACATGGAGGGCGAAGAATGAACGATCCAGAACAGCTGAGTGTCATACAGTCTGAACGCGTCGCATGGCAGTGATGAATCGCAAACCTAAACCTCTAAATCACAGTTCAGGATGTCACAGGAAAAAAATCCAACTAAAAAAAGAGTGCTTTATTTCTTTGAATGGATTTAGTAAGAGGTTCAGTGTATTTTTCCTTCCCCCTGCCCGTTTACAGGCAAACTGGGCAACAATCCAGCCTGAATATTTCACTTCCCAGGAAGATCTGAAGCATTCTCTGTGATCAACTGTTGTCATCCGTTTAAAGATTCATCTACTGTCTGGAAAATGGATGAAATGACACTAGAGACTGTTGGTTCATTTCAGATAATCAGATCTAAATAACAGAGGTTGAGTTTCTACCTGCACTGAGATGGAAGTGCGTTACATTGATCTGACTCTCGTGTTATTAAGGCAAATGTTTATTTTAGTGCAGCTGACAGGATGATGTCCTGATCACACTAAATGTTTCTGAGCTGAATTCATTGAGATGTTTAATAAAATTCATCATCAGATCAGAAATTTGGTTCATGCAATTTGAAACAAAAATTTAAATTATACAGCAAAATAAGTTATTTTAACTTGATAGTATGAGAGAAAATAATAGAGAAATGTGTCTGTTTGACTGGAAACAGACACATTAGAGCCAATCTTTATCCCGAAGTTACAGATCTGAGGCCAGTTTTTTGTTGTTGTTTAAATTGCACATTAAGTTAAAACTCACAATTCAAGAATAATTAACTTAAAAAACAATGTTTAGACAACTTGTCTCTGGTTAAATCAACTTCATGAACTTTAATTTCTGAATTAAAACCCAAATAATTTTCTTGTTGACTTAAATTGCATTTTCAAGGCAGTAGGTGGATTTTTATTATCAAGTTAAACCAACTTCACATGTTTTATGCACTTTTTAAATATTTTCAAGTTGTAAATAAAGTGACACAACGAGGTTCTTCTTCACTTCCAGTTACATTACTAGTACCGCTCTGGTGTCGTTATGTTCTAGAAACATAATGGCACATAAAAATCTTACGTCTTACTAAGCGGACAAAGTAAAGTCAACATGTGGCTTCGCCTGCCGGTCTGTCATCACTTCATGCTCCCTGGTAAAATATGAATGGGTGGAAATGAAACCCCGCACACGCTGACCTCGTCCCCATCGCTGCTCCTTACAGTCAGGCTCCTAGAAACCGGGTCTGATACAGTGAAGTGTCTGGTATGTTCTGCTCGGTGTTTCTGCTGCATGAACATTAGGAGGATGCAGCAGCATGACATGAGGTTGGGCTCAGGGCCAACAACAGTAAACACCTCCAACACCCGGCGTGCAGAGCGAAGCTCAGTGGTTTATGAGCAGGCGCATGCCTTTTATTTCACCGCGCTGCATGATCAGAGGTATCTGGTATGACAAACCGATGTCGTGATAAAGCAGGTATTTATATCGGGAACAAGGGAACCTACAATAAATAAACAGAGTATGTAGGGTAAATTTAACTACCCAGAGTTATTATTCAAAGTAAAAACTGACATAAGTTGCACTGTCACAAAGAGTCAATACTAGAATTTATTAAAACATTGAACTCGAACTGACATCGTTCGAGTTCAATGTTATTTGTGCAGCACATTTCAACATGGCCGCTCAAAGGCCTTTACATTATAAGAACATGAAGCAAGAAACATTACGTTTTGTCAAATTTAATAATCAATATGTTCATAAATTTTCCACTTATTACTAATCAAAAGTAACTCTATATGTTTTTAGCCTTGATTTAAAGGAATTCAGTGTTTCTGCAGTTTTCTGTTCCAGATTTGTGGTAAACAGAGGCTGAATGCTGCTTGGTTCTGGTTCTGGATGCAGAGAACCAGAAGAGCTGAGAGGTCTGGAAGGTTGATCCAGCAGCAGCAGAGCTTCAAGCCGTTCAGTGAGTATTTTAAAGCCTGTTCTCTCAGTGGACTGTAGAACTGGGTGATGTTCTTTTTCTTCCTGGTTTTAGTCAGAAGGCCAGCAGCAGCGTTCTGGATCTGATTGATTTTTTTTAACCTGTGAAGACTCTGCTGCAGTAATCAATGTGATTAAAGATAAACATACATGGATGAGTTTCTCTTCAGGTGATGGAAGGCCGACTTTGTAACTGTATTTATGTGTCTCTGAACGTTGAGGTCAGAGTTCATCACTACACACAGATTTCATCCTGTTCTCTAGTTTCCAGCTAATAACTGAAGCTACGGATGGACTCTAGATTGTTCCTCTTTAGGTTCACAGATAAAAACTTCAGTTTTGTTTCTGTTCAGCTGGAGAAAGTCAAATTAAAACACAAAAATGTAGTTTTTAAATATTTTCAAGTAGTAAAGAAAGTGACACAATAAGGTTCTTGTAAAGTTCTAGTTACACATCATTTATGCATGTGTATAGGTGTGTGTTTAGGCATGTAGTGTGTGTTTTTATACACCAGTATCTCTGTTGTCACTGCAGTGTGTTGAGGTCTTCAGTACAGCAGAGGGAAGGAGGCGGGGCTTCCTTTGGTGAAAGTGTTGCCTCCATCTGAACCTTTTAAAGGTAAAAAACCTTTTTAGTTCACAAGTCTCCTCCCTTCCTCTTCCTATTGGTCAGAACTGCCTACGTCTCCATCTGCTTAACCTCTGCATGCCTTTAAAGGTATATATGGGCAGCATTAAGCTGCTGCAGGGTCTAGCTAAAGAAAACTTGTCATCATCATCAGATTCATTCCTCCTCAGTCAGTCTCCTTCAGGATCTTCTATAAAGATGCCAACAACCAACAGAATCACCTCTGAAACCCAAAACTCTGATAAAGGTGAGCTTCCTTTCCATCATTTTATACACTAAAAAGATCAATGCATGACTTTGCATAAATATCCAGCTATATATTTGGATCATTACTAAAGTGCACCACATTGAATACAGCATCAAATGAATTGTGAGGATCTGGAAGCTGTTTATTATCTTCTGAAGCAGATCCTGAGTGAAGGTGTCACTGGAGTTTATGTCTGCATGTAAAGCACAGCAATTAGCGTTTTCATGCCTGTCATTATGAGAGGGCAGAGAACAGTTTTACTACCTGGCAGCAGAGGTCTGCAGGCAGCAGCATCATCCTATTCAAAAGATTTAACACTCTTTGCTGTATGATAGTAATATTTTGAGAGTACAGTCGATTACAATGCCATTGTTCCCTCCCTAGTCTCCTAGTTCAGATCAAAAATACCATAAAGTGTTACATAAACTAGAAAAGGTTTATTCAAAAGAATTGAATCATTAATCTTTGTCAACTGATACAGTAACAGTAAGCCAGACTTTAAAATGTGAAAAATGCCAAACTAATGCATGATTTCCTATTAATTTAAATCTGAAAATAATAGTCTAAATTCTATCAAAACTGAACTTTTGAAAATCAACTGATGGCACTGAAGAGGAGAAAACTAAAACACATTTCTGCAGCATGAACTAAACACCATTACAAACGAACCTGAAGGAGTTATCAGATTCTGCTGGAATCAAAACACAACAATCTCATATGAATGATCATAAATCTGAGTCAGCAAACAGAATTTCAGCTCCACTTTGCAACAATACATCTTACCAAGAAACATCTTTAAATCAGCTAAACATTAACATTATTACACTAATACACCAATATTTAAAAAAAAAAACTCTGATAGGAGCATCATCATCGTTAACAACTTAAAAACGTAAATCTTATGAACATTTATGGAGAACAGCATTAGCATCGTACTAACCAGAGAAGCCTTGACCCTTTGCTGCTACGTTACTAAATCGTTAAAGGCAACAACAGGCTTAATAACCGTACGGTTTGCTAACGTTACATGACAACGAACTGAGAAAGTTCCTGGCATGTTAGCATAACGTGTTAAGAGGTATTCAGATAACTATAGTATAAATAACAAGCTAACAAGTTTACCAAACCGTCCATGTCACTCCAAATTACTAAATCGAATGAAATCTTCGTCCTTAGTGTTGCCTTTAAACATCTCTGTAAGCTAGGTGAATGTAGCTGCTCCCTACTCCGAAGGTAGAATAACAGACCTAGAGCGCCCTCTTGCGGTTTAGTGCGAAAATAACATGCGATATGACGTGTTAGTTTCCACACATAAGTCGCTCCCCCGGCCAAACTATGAAAAAAAGTGCGACGGAAAATACGGTACTTGTTCGAGTCGAGCTAATTTGTGTGTGAACGTAAAACACCTGATTGCGGACAAATAGAGGATGTAACTCCACCACTAATCATCATAAAGCAAAGATAGAGGACCCCAAACCAAACCCTGAGGAACTATTTTCTTGTAGACATTTCCAGAAAATGTGTCTCTGCCTTACATAAATTGCATGTTCTCTTGAATTTCCCATGTTTACGAGGCATAGCTATATTTACACCTGAGAAAACTAATACACGGTATGTATTTATATATACACACTCATGACTCACTGAAACACTTCAAGGTCTCAGACTCTTGTCAGTAAATGAGATCAAAAGGTCTGGTAGAAGTTGAGACGGCGGCAACGTTTAGGCGTAAGTATTTAGGTTGGTGTTGGTTTGCAGTGAGGACATCTAAATGTGTAGTTTTCATCTCCTGCTGTCGGGTCCAGGCAGGTGTTCGTCCTCCCAGCCTCTGCTTCCTCCAATCAGCAAACAGATTCAAACCAACTGAGAGACGTGACAAACTTTCTGCTGAAAAAGTGTGGACAGGAAGAAACGTGTGAAAGGACCGAATTAGGACAACGACACGTTGTACTCTGAGGGATTTACTGTCTCATATTCATTCTTAAATTTCATAACAATTATTCATGTCAAATAGACTTAATGCTCAGAGATGATTAAAACATTTACAATAAGTAACTCGGTGACAAAGTGTGCCAGTTTTGACAACTTAATACTGAGCGTTAAGAGTTCATTTTGATCTACATAATTAAAAAAAACATATTTATCTTTAAGATCAAAGTGTTGGTAATGACAGTAGTGTCTAGATTAATTCCTCTCCTACTTAAATGGAAGATTTGATCATCATTTATAGTTTAAATTACAGCAGCTTGTGCTTATTTAGGGTTGATATTTTAGGAAAACCTCTCAGAAATCTCCAGTTGCTATTTGCAAAAAGTACACATTTGCTGGATCAGTTTGCGCGGCTTATCTGATTTGTACAAACAAAACGTATCATTCATCTCGTCTGATAATCTGCGCTGAGCTTTGAACCGCTAAAACATGTGAGGTGAAATTTTAACCACCTGGCACCAACTGGCTGCACCGCTGGAGGAAAAATACGAGTTTTTAAGTCAAAATACACTGAAAAACATTTGAGCTGCATTTAGTTGCAAATGTCCTGTCTCTTATGTTAAAGCAACTTCATGAACTTTAATTTCTGAGTTAAAAACAAAATATTTTTCTTGTTGAATTAAATGACGTTTTCAAAGCAGCAGATTAAAGTTAAACCACCTTCATGTTTTACAGTGTATGTTTGACTTCTGAAGAACTTGAGCTCATCATCGGCTGATCTGACTGCATTTATTTTTGTGTTTCTTAGTTTCTTCAGCAAAGAAATCCAAAGCTGGAAACACACCTACAGGTAAGCAGAGTTAATGTTACAATGTTAAGATAAAAAAAAAAATCTTTTTGCAAACCCATCTCTCTTTTTCGTTTTTTTAGCGAAGACTCCTGACTACGAGCCAAATATTCCAGAACCAAAATGTCGAGCTGATCTCATCAAACGTAAGATTATTTTTTAAAATATGAAAACAAGGACGAATCCATAGAGCGGTGCCATCTCCTTTGTTCTGCACTGGATACACGAAGCATTCTGCACCAAATACATGCAAACTCAAACGTTCCAGCTACTGCTGTTCAAAATTATAGAGAAAACTGTTTTACTTTTTATATTATTTCAATTACAGCATCCAACTGGAGGAATAATGTCAGATTTCTGCAGGTATAGGTTAAATCACGTATCATAAAACACAGTAGAATTATAAATTACTTTGATGTAAAGCAAACAGCTGTGATTTTTTAAAATATAAGTTGTTTTCTTTGGCTGTCCTTTGTAAAGGTACACATAAATATAGTTCAGAATGTGCACAGTAGTATGAAATATTTCAGTTATTGTTTGTTCCCTGTATTTCAGACTGGGTCAACCTGACTTTGGATGACAGAACAGCCAATAAGTTGCTGTGGATCACTGATGGTGGCGCTAAAGTCGCCCGTATGACTGATGACATCACTTGTCCTGTATTAGACAGACCAGAGCGATACGAGTACACTCCACAGGTAAAAGTTACACTGTTAAACATTAGATGGTGGTTTAATGTGAAAATGCAATTTAAGTCAACAAGAAAATAGTTTTGGTTTTAATTCAGAAATTAAAGTTCATGAAGTTGATTTATCAACAAGAGAAAAGTTGTCTAAACATTGTTTTTTAAGTTCATTAATCTTGAATTGTGAGTTTTAAATGAATGCTGCAATTTAAACAAACAAAACTGCCCTCACACAGTTAAAGAGGCACATTTCTCTATTATTTTAATCAAGTTTAATCAAGTTTAAATAACTTATTTCACTGTACAATAATTTAAATTCTAGTTTCAAATCCCATTAACCAAATTTTTGATCTGATGATGAATTTTATTAAACATCTCAATGAATTCAGATCAGAAACATTTAGTGTGATACATCATCCTGTCAGCCACACTAAAATAAACATTTTCCTTAACAACACAAGAGTCAGATCAATGTAACTCACTTCCATCTCAGGAGACAGAAACACGCCGCTAAGTATTCTGGGAAATAGTTCCCACTCCTGTCTTTTTCTTCTTTATGACCTAAAAACTAGTTTATTCAACTCTACATAAAAAGTTAACACAGTTACTACTTTATGTTTATCTTGCACAAACTCAAACATTTAGGTTAAAAATGTAAAACTTATTAAATGTATTTGACTTAAAGAGGAGAGTAGACACAACTGAAAGCTGCTCAAATGTTTGCAGTGCAGGTGTGATTAGTGATCACACTTAAAATCGGGTGAAACGACATTCAGTGAGTCCCTTCATGTGATGTAACTGGTTCTGTTCTCACTCAGGTTCTCTGCAGGGAAGGCATCGGGGGTTTCCGAGGCTACTGGGAGGTGCGATCGTCTGGATGGGTCGTGGTCGGAGTTGCGTTTGAACGAGCAGGACGGAGGAACAAGGAAGGGCCCTGCGGCTTCGGAGAGAACCACGAATCCTGGGGCCTGGAGTGGAGCGGCTCCGGCTACCGAGTCTGGCACCAGGGCCAGAAGGAAGAGATCAACGGGATTCCCCATCACGCCACCATCGGTGTGTACGCTGACCAGCCTGCTGGGTTACTGAGCTTCTACGCTGTTGAAGAAGAGGAGGAGGAAGAAGGCGCAGTCAGAAAGGAGGTGAAACTTTTGCACCAGGTCAGGAGCTGCTTCCAGCACAAGCTGCTGCCAGGGTTCTGGGTGGGGACAAACTCCTACTGCCTGATCCTGCAGAAGGAGGAGTAAATCAGAAAATCAGATCAAACGGAATAAAAACGAATTCAGGACAAGTAAGAGTTGCTGCATGAATCTTATTGAGATTATGCTTCTTTCTTAAAAACAATTAGATTTGTTGAAATCAAGTGTTACAAACTAAATATACTCAGTGGAGCCCCACCTATTTATTGTTCAACATTCATAGATTTTCTCTTTTTTTGCAGATTTTTCCTGTTAATTAACTTTCTTTATCATAGAGTTTGAAAAAATCTGCTAGGGGAAACCAGGGTTTCACTGTACATATATTATTCCCAGTTCATAGAAAATATATTTGGTTTATGCTTCCAGTTAAATGCTATTTTGCATACTAGTAAAAAGAACAAAGTACACTTAAGTAGCAGCTTTGTAAAGATTGCAGAATGAATTTAATTTTCTTATTTAGTAAGAATCTGAAAGTTAGAAAAAATATCTATTTTTGTTGTTTTTATTGATGCTGCAGGGAGTTTAGTCACATAAACTCAAAGCCTTTTATAGAATAGCAGATGTGTTGGTTTCACTTTGGCCAAATGTTTAAAAACAGAAGTATAGGGAGCTACATAAAATAATACAGTAAGAAATCGAGCAGGAGTATTTTTTAACCACTCTATGTTGACACCAGTTTTATGTATTTTCTCCAATGTCGTTTGAATGTACACGGCGGTTATGTTGAGAATGCTAAGCAAAAGTTTGAATAAATTATATACCACCAAACGGCTGTTTTACTTGGATTCCTAACATGGTCACTACAAAAAAAGAGGCCATCTTTGTCTTGAGGTGAAGTTTCAAAGTGAGACCCAAATGCAAAAGCAGCAGAAGTGGAGAGTCGATGAAATTCAAGTGCCAAGGCAGAAACAAAAAGTAGTCCAACATGAAAACCCAATAAGAAGATCCAGGAGTGCAAGGGACAGATGGGAAGAAAGGGGAGGAGCCAGCAAGGAGTGACTGAGAAAGAGGCACTTAAATACTGGGAGGCTGAACACTGAAATAATGGACCTGAGCTGATGAGCTAACTGACCTCAGAGAGCAAAAGGCAACTGAGGAGAGGGAGAGAAAGTGGCACACAAGGGACTAAGAGATTAATCCAACAGAAAAACACACTAGACAGAATTAAAGTAGTGTGAGAAAAAATAATTAGACCCAATAAATAAACATAATAAACTAGAATCACTAATAACTGAAGACAAACAACAGGCACAAGATGATCTAACCAAAATAAGATACTACCACAAAATAATAATGAGAATAGAATCAAATTAATCTAAAAAATAACTTTTTTATTCAAAAACACATCAAACCATTTCTTGATCTCATTTTGTTTGTCTAAATTGAAACAGCTGTGAAAGAGTGTTATAAAAGCTTTCATCACAAACTGTTTTAGGTCTGGTTGCTGTTTCACATCTTAACAAACCAACTGGAAACTGTTTTTATTTTTACTGAGGTTGTGTTCAACTGTGACTAAGAAGTAAAAACAAGAGAGAAAATAGTTTTAATAAAGCTGTAGGCGTCGCCGGCGTTTCTTCATCCTGCCTCCATCTTGCTTCCTGTGAAGTTCTTGAGGAAGGAAGTTACACTCGGAGGTTTTCAAGGCGTTTTCTGAACCCAACTGGGAATTTTGGGCCAAAAATGGAAAATACACAGAAGTACACCAAACACAGTTACAGCTGTAATATTAGCAAAAAGAGCTTCTGCAAAGAACTGCAGATATTCTGGATGGTTCAGTGGTTTAAAATCTTTTAAAATAAACATTTCTGGAATTAATTTTATTTATTTATTACAACCGAATCAAAACATTTCATGATCATTTTCTGATTGTCTTTTAGAGCAGCTTGAAAATGTCCAAAGGGTCAAACGGGCCCATTTGTAGAACACCTGAAGGTTGGAAGTCAGACTCTTTCTTGGAGAAGCAGACCTCCCCTCTGCCGTATAACCTGGGATTTAGTGGGATTAAGGCGGGAGTACAGCAGGCAGAGAACATCACGCAGCTTCACTCAACAAGTGGCGCGTAGATCCAGAGGAAACGGCCACAAAGTCACGCCAGAATGTGAATCACTTTAACGGCTGCCAGTTGACACTCAGTACATCCTGAACAATGGAAATGATGTTTGGCTGTGGCAGCAGTGACCCACTAGATTAACTTTGCTCTCTGAGACAGCCCTCAATTAATCAAAGGTGGAGAAGTTGTTACAAATTCATGTTCTTCTAGTAATAATGATTTAAATGGTTTTTTTAAAAAAATATTATTCATGTAAACACACTTTATTTTGTTCCTTTTTTGTGGCATAAGATCTTGGGACAGCTTTACTAAACATCCCCTGAAGGAATTAATTGTGAAATATTCAGGCACTTTTTAGCATAAGATGACATGAAACATCTAAATTTGACAGAACTTTATGTTTAATCGAACGTTTTTGATATTTACCAGTGAAACCTGATTGATTGGTGTTGATCTCTGTGGGAAAAAACAAAACAAAAACCACAGTGTGTTCTGAAGGAAACAGACTTGATGATTCAAAACACAAATGTTAGATTTTGAGACAGATTAATTCAAACAGCATTATACTGGAAACTAGTATCAATAGTTTTATTTGTTAATCTTCGGCTTCTTGTTCCTGTGGGGAGCAGATTTGACGTGACACACGAGGTAATTTCTCTTAGCTGCTCTGCAAAATGGGAAAGACATGAGAAACAGCTCAGAGCTGGATGAGGATTTGAGTTTCTGTTGCTGAAATGCGAAGAGAGGACGATGGTAATGGATGAAGAGCAACCATAAATACCAAGGCTTTTTGCTCCTCTTTTGGGGGCCAAATACTTAAAAAGTTCACAGACAGTAAAGCAAATGTTATGTTTGCTTAGATAACAGCATGTATGTAACTCCAGAGGTGATTTATGATTGGTGCCTGATCTGCATTGGGGAAACTCATCAGCCAAACCCGGAGTGATCATCGATCATGCGGCGAGGGGAGCCGACCTCCCTCTGTGCGCTCAGTATGTGTGAGTTTATGCCAGGCATGCAAGCGCTCTGTAATCTAAAGCCTGCAGCCCAACAAGGTGCAAGCGACACTTTTAGCTCGACATATGGGCTGCAGTGGATGAAGGTGCAGTTTGAATCGGATGAGTCAAAATATCAGCAACTTGTTTCTATCTCAGGGTAAAAAATTATATTTTGAGCAGAAATATTGACAGTTCATTTCTATGAACTCTATGATGGTTGGGGCTCCTCTGAATGAATTCATTGCATTCTAATTATTTGAGCTGTATTTATATGCTTTGCATAAATTATTGGATTAAAATCAGGCCGAACAATAAAGTTAATTTTGTTTTTGTTGAAATAAACACACAGTCTACTGTAGGAATAATTGATGATAAGTGTCATGCTCTGCAGGAGGAAGGATAGATGTTGGAACAGCAACACCTGCTGGACTCTTTGGGTCAGCACACGTGTTAAACTCCACCTAATGAGATTTTAACTTTGGCCAAACACAGAGACAAAACGAGCTGCAGACACATCACAACTGACGAGGTCATTTATTATCATTAATCAGATTTTTTTCAGCTATTAAATCTCATTTATTCTCCATTTTGATGCTCAGTTTAAACTTCAGCAGCTCTTCAGAGTGAAGATTTAATACAACCTGCTGGTTTCCAGCATGTCTGGAATTGCTTTATTATTTTTATTTTTGAATTAGACTAGTGTTGCGGACATTAATGTATATATTCCAGTTCTGAATTGTGACAGAAATGAAATAAATGACAAATGGATGCCAGACAAATTCTGGAATTTCTTATGAGTCTCCGCTTATTTCCAACCCCAAAAGAGCAACTTCACGTTCAAAAACGAGCCCAAAACGAAAACCACAAGAATGTTTTTCTGCTGCTCTCGGGGTTGCAGGACTTTTGAGCTTCAGACGCATCCAGACGTAACTCCTGTTGCCATTTTTCTTCTGACTTTAAAGCTGGAGCCTCCCACCAGGCTGCTGTTCTCACAGACATTTTCCTTCTCGTTATCAGATCACTTAAAATGCCTCCGATATCTCCGGCCCGCTGCTGAACATCAGCTCTCACTCTCACCGCTTTCAGGCTCATTAAAGAGGCAGTGATTGAGTTTCCCAGGCACAGAGCGCCAGTTTTTAACATAACTAAGCAACTATGTTATCAAAATGCTACATAGAGCTCTGGAAAATATAAATCCCCTTGAAAACCTGCTGGTTTTTCCACCAAATACTGAATTCTGAGTTAAAAAATTAGTGTTGTTGTTTCTAAATGAATATGAACTTGTTGTCTTTGCATTATTTGAGGTCTGTGTCTTTAATTATTCCTGCTCTTTCTGAAACTCCGGCTTTAAGAAGCCATCCCAAATTGCTAGCAGCAATTATCTGATGTTCAGCTAATTGCTGCTGGCTAGTCTGAAGGAGCTGAGAGGGGGCGTTTGAACAGTTCCCTTCTGACATTCGTGAACAGATCAAGGCAGCACCCCAGGTATCCTTCTGATGAACGTTAAGCTAAAAAAAGCTGATCTTTAATGATACTTTCCCTTTAAATCAAGCAAAACTCAAAAATGTTTTCACTTATTTCAGCTCAGGAGACACGAGATGCTATTTTTTTCCCTGCAGCTGCACCAGCTGTTTGGCTGCATGCTGCAGGTATATTTAGTGAACTAGAGACCCACTTTCTAAAAAGAGAATATGTGAGGAATGCATGGAGCTGATTCAGTGCAGCAGCAGAGCTAAATATAATTTACACATCTGGGAAAACGCTGTTTACTTTTAAGTCTAGACAAACTAATTAGAGTTCAGGAGGATTTCTAACATCCTGCAGCGGCATCAGGTGTTTCTGTTTCTCTCACCAAGAAGGTTTAGTTTTTAAATACAACTTATTCCTCTTTCTATATAAAAAATAACATAAAAGGTTAAACTAAACATGTTTCTCTTATATCATCATTTTAAGTTTTGATTTTTCTCAATATAGGGGTAAAAAAAAAAGATAATGATAATGTCTTTTTGGGCTCTTTCTGAATTACTAGTCACAATTAAATAAAAATGAACATGAGATATAATTTTGTAAAAAAGCAAAACGGACATAAAAGGTCCAGAAGTCGATGCTGTAAATGTTTTACTTTTTTTTTTCTTCCTTATCCTGAAAATTGGTGCCAATAGTCAATATTGTGAGGAAAGTTTGGTTCACTTTCTTTAAAAACTGATTGAGTTTTTAAGAATAAATAAAGGATTTATAAAAATACAGACTTTAACTAGGTCACTCCAAAACCTCATTTTTACATTATATGTTGCTTTGTAAGATATTTTAACCTAATTCATATTGTCAGACCTTTTTTTTCACAGAACTGCATATGATTTATGATTATTAATTAATTGAAGCAATAAGTTTTTTCATCTTATTTGTTTATTTAAGGATTCACATCAACGTTACTATGACAATAATTTACAAAGACTCCTTAAAAGACATGAAGGACAAACAACATTAAATTAAACAGAAAATTTAAATCAACTGCTTAAATTACAAAAGGAAATAAGGAAAAAAGTCACCACACAAAGTATGTTCAACCATTCCAGAACTTATACTGGAAAAAGTACAATGACAGACTATCAACTTAATACCAACTTTCAATAAAGTTTTCTTTTACATTTCCATGATCAGCCATCACTGTCATTTCAGAAGGCAACATATTCCAAACTTATCCACTCATAATAATCCAACTTTTATTAAATTTTTCTGATTATTTTGGTATTTAATGGTCAGAAGTTTAAATTTAAGTTGCAACAATTGAAGATTTCTGGCAGACTGCACACATGAAAAGGTAAACATTGACATTTTTATCGTCTTGAAGCCGTAATATTTGATGTTTAATTCCCTAAGACAGAGAGCAGCTGTTTTATTGTAAGTTCCTGAGCTACAGGCCCACAGCGAGCCAGCGACAAAGAGGCGGTCAATGTCAGGGTGAGAGCGCGAGGGAGGGAGGCTGGAGGAGGAGAAGAAGAAGAAAGACGGGGCTCACAGAGAGTTCAGTGTTTCAGCACCCAGCAGCTTCAGTGCAGGTAGAGCGTTTCAGACTTGGTCAAAACAAAGTGAAGCTGCAGCAAACAGAAAAAGCTTCACCTGTGAACGATTAGAAAGGTTTCACCGGCAGAGCGAGGGCTGAGCGGCGGCCAGACCGGCGGCCGGACCGGACGGGATGCTGTGAGGAAGAACGCCAAGCGATGGAGCTGAAAGACGGAGGCAGGAGGCCGCAGATGCTCAGGTAATCCACCTACTGATCAAACATTAGACTCATCACCAAATATCCTCATGTTTTAAAAGTGGGACATTTAAAAAAATATTCTAAATGAAATCCAGTCAATACATGATCCTTTTCTTGTGTCTGAATCATATTTAGTCAGATGAGAAACTTTTTTAAGGCTACATGTTGGACTCTTACATCTACAAATGAGAAAATGTCCCAGCTTTTCAGTCCAAGCTTCAATGTAATCTGATTTTATTTTGACATTTGAAGCATCAAGAATGATGGAGATTTGCCAATGTTTAGTCAAGAGAGAAAGCATTATTTTCCAGCCATTAAACGTATTCAACATGCTCTGTGTGCGTCTTCACATGATGTGTTCAGTCATCACAAAGCCCACTCTGTGTGCCACACAGACCCCCATTTTTCTCCCCTTCGTCCCTATTTAGCATTTCCAGTCTTCTCCTCCCCCACCCAGAGAACTTGCCTGATTAAGGAGAAGATTTTCCAAATATTTCACAACTCCCACACAACCGGTGGCTACAAAGTGGTTAGCTTCTCCTCGCCTGTCTGACAAAGAGCCGATTGTTTGGTCTGATCGACCCAAAGCCTTCCCAGTTGGGGACTGTGGTCTGGGCTCACAAAGGCTCTGGATGCGGCCAACCCTGGCGGAACCTCGTGGTCTCCCGTGAAGCGGGTCGGGTTCAGTGTTGGGTTTCTCTCGTGATGTTTTTATCTTCAGCTTCATCTGTGGTGATGTGTCACGAACCAGGAAGTCTAAATTTAAAACCGGTTTCAACAGGTGTGACCGAAAAAAAATCTTCTAATAAAAAGTACTTTTCTAAGGTTTTTTAATTATGCAGAAATGGAATTTATGCATAATTAAAAGAAACTACACTGCAAAACACAAAATCTTATCAAGTATTTCTGGTCTAGATTCTAGTGCAAAAACCTGAGTGCACTTGGAATAAGACAAATTAACTTAAAATAAATTTTTCAGCAACATATAAGCTCTGGTTTTGAGTAAATAATTCATTAATATTGATGAATTTGTTCTGGTTCTAATGGCAGATAAATTAACTTTAAAAACATGGGAAAATGTTTGGTTGTAAGTGAAAAGAATCGGCCAGTGGAACAGGCAACAGCTTCAATTGAACTAATTCTTTTTTGCCAATATTAAGGAACTATATCTAGCCTCTATATCTAGCTAGATATTGTCGTACCACCTTATTTTTTTTGTGGTATGAAATTTGGTTACGATATTTACAACACAAAATTTAAAAAAATAAAACAAAATAATTGATGTGCTATATAGATATGGGTGTGTAAATAATTTATGAGATGCATTAGGTGCAGGTTGAGTTCAGGAGTTTAAATAATTTAGGAATTTATTTTAGTTTAAATTTTAATTCAATTATCTAAATTGAATTTCAATAATTAAGGAATTATTTACTTAAAAACCAGCCTCCATATGTTGCTACAAACCTACTTTTAAGTCAGTTTTGTCTTATCTCCAGTGATATTTGTACTGGAAACAAAGAGACCAGAAATACTTGGCCAGGTTTTGTGTTTTTGCAGTGAAACATCAGCTAATGGAAAGCAAAAACCTTTAAAATCCTAAATAAAAACCGTTTGGCAGCGCCGTCCTTTACTGCCCCCCCGGCTGCCAGATTGGTTTTCACACCCTCCTGCCCCTCCCTGTTACCACGGCGACGCAGCTGTCACCTGTCGCTGCCATGCCAGGGATGCGATGCGGCTCAGAATAGAAATGTGGGAGAGTTTCTGGTGGAAGCGGGAGAGCGCAAGGCCGGGCCTGCGGCCGGGGGAACGGACAGTTGACCGGAGGTGAAACGTCTCGGCTGGACGGGAATGTGGAAAATGTGTGAGTGAAAGGGAGTGACGGACTGCTGGTCCAGATATCAGTCAGAACCGACCCACTGCAAGCTCCTGTGCTCCTGTCCACTTTTTATTTTATCTTTGTTTTCTGCTAAAAACTGCTTTCATTCTCTATCAGAATGGACGACCAGGACAGAGTGAGCCAAGCGTCCAGTGTGGCTACAATTTCTTACTTTCCTGTCATGAAGGTTTGTTTGTTTACTTGTTTTTATTTACATGCATGATTTGGTGCAGAGAGCAAACAGGAGAATTAAAACGGTTCCCTCCAATCTGAGCAGGAAAGTGATGGGAAGGTGCAAACGTTTGGGAAAAGATGTCAGGCTGCTAAAAGAGACCCCAACTGTCCCGTGGTCATCAGGGGCTGGCTCAACAAAAAGGTACGTTTGATTCATGCAAGCGCTGAAAAAACTATTTATCATCTGTAAACTTTATCTGGTTATAAGTGAAATGATCTGCCAATAGAACTGGAACTTTTTCCATTGCAATTTTGCGAAATATACAAATTTTGATGCAGTGGGAAAACCGCCTCACTGTAACACCAACAGTTTTTATCAACAAAACTAGATTTTTTTCTAAATTGGCATGTTTCCATTAAGCTAATTTATTTTTGTAATTCCAGTTTGCACAAGTACGTGTTCCAGTTTTTATTAAACAATGGCAGATTTAAATAAAAGAGCTCAGTGTTTCGGCTGTTTTGCCGTTTTTTTTAAGTTTGTTTCAGATTTATGGAACACAACAACTGAAGTTTTCTGCTTCTCCATGTTTGATTCTTGTGTCAAGAAATAAAAACAAGGAAAAAAATTATTTTTGAAGAGAAATTCTTACAAAAATCTAGTTGTGGAATGAAACAAGCCTTGCAAGTTGTTCTGGTTGGATGAAGCCAAACTTAAACTGCTGGCTCTTCATGTAAATATGTTTGAACTGGTGGCAGCATCATGCTTTGGGAGGGAAGCTTTTTCTCATCAGGATCATGGAAGATGAACTTCAGGAAAATCCTTAAACAAACTGGCTGAAATATGAGACTTCTGGAAAAGTTTAGTTACATTTGCACCACTCTGTTGGCCTGTTGCATAAAAATCCTGGTAGAAAAAACAAAGTTAAATCAATCTGAAAACTTCTGCAAGGCGTTTTATCTCCATCTGTCTTTGACTCGCTGCTTCTGCAGGACAGCTCTGGTCTGAAGCTGTGGAAGAGACGGTGGTTTGTTCTCTCCAACTACTGTCTGTATTACTACAAAGGTAGGAAGCAACGCGGCTGCGGCTCGGCGCTGCGGTTCTGACCCGCGTGTTTTCCTCTTTATTGAAATGTTTTCTTTTCCCCAGACAGCAGAGAAGAAACCGTGTTGGGAAGCATCCCGCTGCCCAGCTACAAAATCCTGTTCTGCACGCCGCGAGAATGCAAGAACAGGAAGTTCACCTTCAAGGTAGCAGAAGCTTTGTTCCTCACTGCTACGAGGATGTCAGGGAACGAGATGAACAGGATTATGAGAACTTTTTGTTTATTTGGTGGCTTTTCCTGTAAGCTTTGCATGTGAACCAGATATTCAAAACATGCTTGGTGTGAACACAGCATAAGAACCAGGCCTTCTCGTCCCACATCAGTACATGATCTCACAAATGTGCTTCTGGAAGAATGGTCAAAAATATTTGTGTTTTTATGTATTTATTTATGGCTATTGTCCTTTCTGGATGTGCTGTTCTGAGACTAATTTCTCCTACAGGGGATTAATAAATGATCTTGTCTTATCTGAGCATTATTCAACAGGTGAGTGTTTATCCACTGTTGCTCCAGGTGGTGCACCAGGGAATGCGATCATATTTCTTCAGCGCTGACACTCAGGAGGACATGTTGGGTTGGGTTCGAGCCCTGAGCCAATCAGCTACGATGGAGCCAGACAGCACCATGAACAGGTATGACGCGAAAACAATCCTGCACGTGAGAAATGTACAATTATCATACCAGAGACATGAAATTATCGTATTTTTGGCCTTTTGGGGATTAATGATTGTGTATCGAAAAGAGGGCAAAATTATCGTACAAATGCGATAATTATCGTACACCTGGCGACGCCACATGAACGGCTTTTAATGCAACAACTCTGATCCGTTTAGGCGTTGCTCCAGTTATCAAGATTTCACGCAGCTTGGTGGCAGCAGTGAGTCCATGGACTTCCCCAGATCGCCCACGGAGGAGGAGGAGAGTCCGGCGCAAAAACACAAGCATGTCAGCAGAACCCTGAGCGAACCGGGTCAGCTGAGCCGGAGGGTGGGGAGGTCACAGTCAGAGCACCGGGGCCGACGGAGCGTGCATCACCGGAACAGGTCAGCGATCTCAATCTCACGTCTTAATTGTTTATCTGGGAAACGTCCAGTTTGGTATTCTGCTTTCTGTGATGCTTCAAAGCCCGTCGAACCGAACCCCCAGCCCCCCCGATCCAATCAGGAGAAGAACTGCTTCAAACAGGGAGGACGACGCTTGCGATGAAACCTCAGCCATCGTGGGGTCAGGCTCTTTGGGCTCCAGGGGACAGCTGGGCTCCCGACCCCACACCCCAGTGGGAAGGGTCGACATTCGACCCCACGATGACCCCCTCACTGTGTACTACACTCCTGCCTCCCCTAAGCTGGAGTTCAAGTCTGCTCCCACCACCCCGGTCACAGAGAGGTGGCAAAACCTCAGCAAGGTGAACAAATCACTGTAAAACAGTAGAAGATGGTTCAACTCGAAAATGAAAGTCCATCTGCTGCCATTTAAGTCAACATGAAAAGTGTTTTGGTTTTAACTCATAAATTAACGTTCATGAAGTTGATTTAACAACAAGACACAAGTTGTCTAAACATTGTTTTTTAAGTGCATTAATCTTGAATTGTGAGTTTTAACTTAATGCTGCAGTTTGAACCAAATAATTATCTCACAAAACAGGAGTTATGCATCTTTAGTGAAGCTCTGTTGTAAAGGCATCGTCTCTCTTTTGTTCCTTTGCAGCCTGCAGCCGTTTACGGTTCTGTTCATCACACAGCCAGTGGGAGAAGACCTTTAGCAAAGGTGAGAAAATGACAATGTTGTGCAAAATTAAGCTGCAAAATATCCAAACTAATATGCAGCAGCTGTTGGGGAGGCAACAGAATAAAAAGCCAAAGTTGTGTTTACTTTAAAAACTTCCCATAGAATACAAGACATGGGTTGGTTTTAGTCAACAGTTTGTTTAGCCTGATATTAAAAGTTTTTATCTGATTTCCATCCTGTGTTTTTCTTCAGAGCCACTCCACGGGGGCAGATTTACTGCCTCCTTTACCCCCTGCAGCGAGGGCAGCGCATGCTTCCAAGCCCTCAAAACCGCGTCAGCTTCACCTGCCTGTCTCTGCGCTTCCGCCAGCGCTGGTACAGCCGCTAGATGGCGCCAAACTCCTCCGGCTTTTCGCTTACTTTAACTGTGTCTGGAGTTTTGTGGTGTTTGTTGTGTTGTTTATTTTCAAAGTGTACTATACATATATTTGCAAAGCTGCAACCACGCAAATTTTTAAAAATATTTAAAACATGTTTGCAGCTTGCTGAGGCTTCTGAGCTCAAGTTTTACCCTTTAATACTGATATTAAAGGGGAAATATAATTTCAAAACATAAAATCAAAGAATTGTACATATCTGCGTTTAAAGAATGGTCATTAAATAAAGATTGTGAACTGTTTTCCAGGTGTCTAAATCTGACCAGAGGGATTTGCAACCAGTACGACCTCTTGAAAGTGATGCAGATGTGAGTCCTCTCAGTTCTGCAGCTTTTACAGATGAATAGTTATTTATCTCAGTGGACATGAGCTCGAGGTTTTCCGTTTCAGGCCGTATTGACGCGTCTGTGTGGGTGTGACAAGCTGCTGCAGTCTCTGTCTGTGGAGCTCACCCAGCTACAGAGGGACAAGGTTAGTGATCATCTCCAAATCAAACTTATTTACAAAGCAGCTTGAAAACAACCAACGTGCTGCACAGCAAGAAATAAGATAAAATAGAAACCACTAAAAGGACGGGAAGTAAAAATGTGTTTGAGCCAAAATGTGACAAAAGCATTGATCACTGTCTGAAAAAAAAATTTAATAAAACTCTTAAAATGCTCATTTTATATATGTTCTTCTTCTCAAGAGGAAATATACCTGATTATAAACAAAAACAGATGTTATGTTTGGTTTTTATTTCTTTTATATGTTTTCTAATGGCAGCAGGTAAAGTGGAGAAAGCAAACATCCAAGAATGGAGCCCTGTGGAACACCTGTAGTTTTGTGATGTATATGTTTTTTAGGTGACACCAAATGTAAAACAAATATGTCACAATAATCAATAAATCAATTAATTGCAGGATAAATTAAAACAAACTCAATAATTTTCATTGGTATGATTTTATTGTTTATCTTTTCTTTTTCTGCTACCAAAAACTGGGTGATAAAAGTTTTCAGTTTGGTGCTTTGGTCTCAATCAGCTCTTATTTTGAAGGACAATTTTGTTCGCAAAGACTTGAAATTAAATAAACAATGAAATTGTTTATTTTGGATATTTAAAATGTCTTCCAGTTCCAGTGTTAAATGTTCATCAGGATTTAAAGTTTATTGATCTTTTAAAATGACTATTTTACCATTAAAATCGCAGTACTTAAAAATGTTCTCAAAACAACAATATTATCGTTTATCGGAATAACTGCTGGAACAATTTATCGCCCAGCAGAATTTGTTATCGTGATGAAAAACTGTTCAGGCTGTAGTTCATTTGGAGGATGAGATGACAGAGATGTTTCTGTTGCAGGACAGCGTCCAGTGTGCGCTGGAAGTGTCCAGGCTCCAGGTGGAGGAGTGGAGGACCCAGGGGCCCCGGGCCCTGGAGGAGGCGCTGACCCAGAAGGCTTTGCTGCAGGAGGAGTTGGTTACAATCCGGGCCAGAGTGTGCGACGTCTCACTGGTGTGTAACAAAGAACAAGCTGTGCAGATGTTTGTGCAGTTTAAATATATATATATTTTCTTTTCTTATCATGGTGTTTCTATCTGAAGGAAATGGAGCGAGTGTGGAGTCAGTATGAGAGGATGGAGAGCGAGTTGTCTGTAATCCGTTCGCACCTTCAACACATCTCCAACTTTGGAATACCGCAGGTCATTTTATGCAACTCTTAAAGTCTGATTATTATTCTTCACTTTTGGACATCAGCTAAAATAGTAAAAAAAAAAAAAAGTTGTTTATTTTGATATAACTCTGCCAGTCTGCCGTCCAAACCGTCTCCTGATGTCTCCCTGTCCGATCAGGAGCAGTGTCAGGCTCAGAGGGAGCTGTGGATGATGGAGGACATCCTCGACGGGCTGAACGTCAATCGGGATTATTTCTGTTTCCTGCTGGGACTTCAGACACATCACAGTAAGAATGATCTGCAGCTCAGCCACACGTCTGCTGTCCCTGTGTTAAAACTCAGCGGCATTTCTTAGAGCTGCTCATTACCAGCACAAAAATGGCTTCAAAATGGCTTATTCTGACGATTAATCGAGTAATCAAATAAAAAAATCTAATAAAAAATTTGATTAAATGAAATACTGGTAATTTCTGCCATGACAGCAATATTACAATCAATATTAAAATCGGCTCAAATTTTCATTTTTGTGCATCCCAACAATTACTTTTCTGTAGTTTAGAAAGTTCATCTGTAACAATAGAAGCTCAGTCTGAATAAAAATTGTACAAAAATCTGAAATTATGATCAATTTAATAATAAAGCAGCATCCCCCAAAATCCAGCTTTTAAAGCTCAACTGAACGTTTACATGAACAAACCAAATTCAACCTGAAGGCCTCAGAGCTGATATGGTACCAATATTTCTCCTGCTGATCGATAAATGAAGGCGAATTACCTCAAAATAAAAATCAGAAGATGAATGGATACAAATGAGTTTATAATGTAGCATAAACGGTTGCAGCATCTGTTGAATGCAACCATGATGCACCTAACCTGATTTTTCTTTTAATTGAATTTCCACAGCAGAAAAGTACCAGCAATGTTTTTATACCAAATTTTCTTGTCACAAACAATGTGGTTTTCTTTTGCCAATATTAACATCGGTGTCTCTTTTTGCAAAAAAAAAAAAAAACATGTTTGTTTTTCTATATATTAAAACCAAAAAGTAGAAATAAAATGGTGGCTCTGTAGAAATTACAAATGTCCTTTAGTAGATATACATTAAAAACGAAAACAGGTCATGTGACACTTGTGGCTCTGAATGAGTTTTATTTAGCTGGACTGGGTGCAAAATGAATTGAATGGTAAAGGTTGCAGACTAAAACATAAATGGAGTCGTGAACGAGACGTTTTCTGTCTGCAGTGTTCCAGTTTTTGCCTGCTGGACCTCCTGGACCTCCTGGACCTCCTGGGCCTCCTGCTTCCCCCCCAGAAGGGCTTCCAGTCGGACTGCCACCAGTAAGATGCTCTGCCTCTGATCACAGCTTCTTTTCAATCTATTCAAGTAGATATTTTAAATCTGGCCTGCTCAGTTAACCTGGTGAAGAGGTTCTTTGACAAAACCCAAATTATTGATACATTTTTCTAACTATGAAAGGCATCTTAAGTCAGTACAGACCAGAATCTGGTGGTTCATCTCTGTTTTTTGTAAAGCTTTGACTTGTTAATATCAAATTCAATATTAACATCCAGTTCTGACTAGGAAATATATATATAACAAGAGAGCAGAAAAATATTTTAAATTATTGTTTTTATATTAGAAGGGGAGGCTATGATTAGCTCGTAAGCTGTTTCACATCTGATGTTAGTAAATTGCATGGATATATACATATTTTGTTGTTTTTAAATAGCCCATAATGGCAGCAATTAAAATAAAAAAACAACAACAGATATCCAAGAACTGAGCCCTGTGGTCCACCCAGAGAACAGCATCTTCAGATTTTCTCAACTTGTAAAAACTGGTTTAGTAGATTTATGTTTTGGTGATGCCTAATTGAAACCAAATTTAAAATAAAAAACATAAATACACACAACAACTAGAACAACAGTTTTAGTTTGACTTTGGGAAACAAGAATGAAAAAAGTAAATATTATATATTCGAAGAAGCGGTGATGATTACTTTGTAAATGTTTGTCCTGAGAACAACTCAAACGCAAAACCTCTCCGCACTCTGCTCAGCCTTCCTGTTAGTCTTGCTCTCTCTCACTTTTGAGCAGCCTGAAGGAATCACTGATATGTTTCTGGCTCTTGTAGAAATAAAATGTTCCTTTTGCATAGCTTTTCTTACATCTGTCGTTATATAACATCAGGATTTTAGCATTTGTCTAGTGTTTCCCCGGTGAGTGTTTCATCAGCGTGTGACAAACGTCTGCAGGATTTGGAAGAAGAGCCTCCGCTTCGCCCTCCGTTACCCCTGGAGCTTCAGGAGAGCCACCGTGCTCAGGACCTGGGCCATGTGTGGCCAGAGTCACCGTACGAGGTGGGACTTTTATCATGGTTTATCACCAGAGGAAGCAGAGAAACGATGCCGCGTTCATCGTGTTTTTATGTTTCAGGGAATCTACGAGCATCCTGCTGATCCTGCCGACAGAAGTGGAAACAGCCAGCCTGACCTCCTTAACGTGAAAGCACAGAGAGATGCAACCGGTTGGCACCAACACACACACCAACAGAAACAAGGACACTTTGATTCTGATGTGTGCCGTGTGTTAATATCTATTAATAACAGCTTTGATGTATTTTTCATTGCAAAATCCTAAACTGCGTTCATTTGGGGAGAATTTTTATTCCTCTTCTGACCTTAAAGCCACTTTCCATGGTGTCTCATGTTGGTTATTTTTCTTTTTTATTCAGAATCTCAGTCTGGTTCAAAGTGGATCCCAGCAGAAACAGCCAGCCAGCCAACAAAGGTTTAATTCTTCTTCATTTCCGCCATGATAATCTGTGATGTGGGCCAAAAGACGCTAAATATAGGAACAGTAAAAGCTGTTTTGTTTTGTTTTGTTCCATTGCAATCACAGCCAAATTCTAATTCTTTAGTTCTCCCATCCTGGCTGCAATTAGGCCATGTTGCAATACCAGCTATAGACAAGAGGGGGCGCCAGAGGCTCAGGTTTCAACACAACTGCGTTATGGAAGACACACACACACACACGCACACACACACACACACACACACACACACACACACACACACATACACACACGCACACACACCACTACACATACACACGCACACACACCCAAAACACACACACACCCACACACACACACACACACACACACACACACACACACACACATACACACACACATACACACACACACACAATGCTTTTCTTGCAGTTTTCTGCAGAATGCTGGAAATAATTAACCTAAATCATGTTTTAAATCACAATTTTGTATTTTAAACAACTTATGTTCTTATCTTAGAAGATGAAAATGAAGATGAGTGAAGCAGAGCAGATTGAGAGGATGAAAAGAAATCAGGAGAGATTGGCGAATAAGAGGAAACCTCCAGTGGCGACTCCAGGACCCCAGGATCAGAGTCCAGACACAAGACAGGAGGTCAGGCCCACAATATGTTATTTTTAACCTGATTAAGATATAAATACATGTGATATTATGTCATAATTTAATGAATCAACTTTAATTTGCCAGGCCCCGTTTCCCTTGAGGGTGACCCGCGTTGTCACAGCTGTGCTGCCCTCGTCGCTCGTAGCCAGAAGAGTTTCCATCGAGGATCCCCCAGCTGAGCTCGACGCTCCGCTGCCCGAACAAATCCTGCCGGAAACACAGCAAAAGCAGACGGAACCGAGCAGAAAGCCCCTGAGCAAACCTGCCAGGCGGCTGCTTACGGAGAGCCCCGACGCAAACCAGGCTGTCGGCGAGCCGCACCAGGATCAAACTGCAAAAAAGGCCAGCAGAAAACACCCGCCGGCGTCCAGGGGCCCCAGAATGGAGCCACTTCTAGAAGTGAGCAGAGGCGAAGGATCAGAGAGCCCGAGGAGTGAAGCGCAACACCTGATGGGGTCAGGAAGAGGTCAAGGCAGCGCAGACGTCAAGGTGAGGAGGGAGCCATCCGCTTCATCTCTGCAGTGACTCCAGTACTTGAATATTGATACTCACGCTACAAACGTACTCCACTGCGTGTAAAAGTTCAGTCAAGTTAAAGTACTGAAATCAGAATCAGCCTTTGTTTTCATTGTACGGAAAACACAACAAAATTAATTTCAGCACAACAACAAAAAACAACAAAAAAAGACAAAAACAACATAAGGCTTTTTTTTTTTAATAAAAATTCTGCAAAAACAAAAAGTCTTCACAAGTATTTTCGGTCTAATTTCTAATGCAAATGTCTTAGTTCACACGAAATAAGACAAAACTTACTTAAAAGTAGCTTTGCAGTGAAATACAGAGGCTTGTTTTACGTAAACAATTCCTTAATATTGGTGAAAAAGTTCCAGTTCCCCTGACAGGTTATTTCACTTGTATCAAGACATTTTCCGATCTTATAAGTTCATTTATCCGCCACTGGAAGAACAACTTTGTCATCAATAACAAGGAATTATTAACTTGATACAATGGCTGCTGAAAAGTTTCCTTTAAGTTAGTTTGTCTTATTCCAAGTGTACTGCAATATTGGCACAAGATGATGGGAAAAATTATATCTCACTTTCATCTGAAAACACTTAAGTACTAAAAAGCCCAAATTATATTTTCAACTATCTTCTCATTTATGTTCTAAATTTCCTTTGATTTACTCAATAAAACTCCTCTGACCAGGCAGCTGAAGAGCCGTCGGCTGCTGACTTCGACCTGAATCCTGGTGTGAGCTCTGAGCAGCGAAAAGCCAAACTCCGACGAGTCGAACGGATACGAGAAAGAGTGATGAGAAGGTGGGTTTGCTTTGGGTAAAATATGCAAACGTCCACAGAAGCAAGCGTCCACAAATTGTTTGTCGTCCGTTTCTCAGCGCAGCCAGAGAAAGTTCTACGACAGACAATCAGCGTCCAATCAGGAGAGAGAGGAAGGAAGTTCACCGGGCTCCCTCTGACTCGGCTGAAGGAAAATGGCCAACAGCAGGTACTGGAACAGAAAGAACCAAAATAAACAGAAAGTGACTGAGTTCCTAACAAATTATTCCCTCTTTCTAACCTTCAGAAAGTCTTGGCTGTCTTGATGACTTCAGCAGATCAGGAGATCTGCAAGGTGCAACGTCTCAGGGCTGCGATGAAGTTAAATCTAAAAGTCAGGTCCAGACTGAGAACAGAGCACAGCACAGTGGGAGAGCAGAGGTTGCCAACAATAAGAGCAAACGCTCACCGTCTCCCTATCACATCTCATCCATGACCGTCTACCAAAACGACGGAGGCAAAGGATTCATGAGCTTCAACGATGAAGAGCAGGAAAACCCGGAAGGACTCACTGCAGAAGATAAAGAGGAAAAACTGAAATCTTCCCACCTGAGAACAAAATGGTTCCTGTCGACCAACCAGTGGCAGGGGTTCATCCCACTGCAGATGGAGCCGCTGTCCATCGAGGAGAACGAGGAAACCGACACCCGGCCGGGCTCTGATGACGCCAACGACCTCAGCCAGATGTCGGCGGCGGTGAGCGAAAGCCTGCAGAAGATGAAGGAGAACCACTCGCTCTTCTATAAGATCGCCTGCGACATCAGCATCTCAGACTCAGACATAAAGAGCGACGATCAAACGTCCTCCAGACCAGAGGACGAAGAAGTTTTGGTCATCGAAGAAACGGCGAGGGCCGGTGACGTTGGGACGCCGTCTCACTCAGAGAGTTTGGACGGAAGAGGTGCAACATCTGAAAAGAAATCTCTGGAGTTCACGACAGAAATGCAGGACAAGACTCTGGTGGACACAACATGTGATCCAGCAGAGCAATTAGGGCAGGAAGATGAAGCAAAAGTTTCAGAAACGGGAGGTTTTGTCCAGGGGACGGATTCCACTCAGGCACTGCATGGACACACAGCGACAGAAGAGAAACACTGTGTGAAGAAAGAGTCAGAAGATCTGAACACAAACCAGGACAGATGTGAGGAAATAAAGAAACGTTCCAAAGGAAGTAAAGAGAAGAAGACGGATGAGGAAGACCGAGGAAATAGACGCTCCATCGGGGCATCGAACGCTGACTGTGATGGAGGAAGAATCATCCAGAGCGCGACCTTTGGAAAGCCGAGGGTCACCGTCCTCAGGACGAGTTTGTAGATCCAAGAAAAGACGCCGTCCCATTCTAACCAAAACTTCATGACACTTTATTTGGATTTCATATGATAGACCAAATCAAAAGAGGGTATAAGTATAATTTGACAAACATAATCTGAAAATCTGACCCCAGAAACTTTTGGTACCTCTGGAAAACCTGCAAAGGTCCAGAGCAGAGAAAAGCCACAGGAAGTCCAACATCCGTTTGCTACTAAACAAAATGCTATGAGGGGCTAAACACTAACACCTGGGGCTAAACACTAACACCTGGACACCAGGTGGAGGAAGCATCATGCTGTGGGATGTTCTTGTTTTCAGCAGGTCAGGGGAAAACTTGTCAGATTATATGAAAGAACAGAAGCTCAGGACAAACTGGCTTAACTCAAAACATATTAACATGTTAGAACGACCTAGTCAAAGTCCAAAAGATTTTTGGTAAGATTTGAAAATTGATGTTTATGGGGGGAATTTTCTATATCATGTAGTACTTTGTTTTGGTCTTCATCTAAAATCCCATTAAGGCCGAATGAGGTTGCAGAACGAAACTTTTCCCTCGAGGTTTTGACCGACTGGATTGGACTGGGCCCAGTTATGAGAATGTATAACAGCAGAATAATGTATAACCATCAATAAACTTGAATGTTTTCATTTTACAGAATATAAAGGAGGATGTTGGACGAAATCTGTCACCAGAAATGTTATTTGTTCAAGTGGAAGTGTTTTTTTTTTGCAACTAGACAGGTGCAATCAAATTTCCTATTTAAATGCTAACCCCTCCATTCCTTTTAATGTAATACTCACTGAAATTATATTTGATGTCTGTTTCTGTTGGCAACATAATCCTGTTTTTATCACTGTGAAAATGTGCTTTATTTGTATCTCAGATGTAATAATAATAATAAAGAAGAAGAAGAAGAAGTGTTGTGCACGCTGCGGCTCCAGCTGCTGTCAGAGCTTTACATTTCATCCTCCACCCCCTCGCCTCATCGCCTGCCAGGTCCCACATGTGCTATAGGGTGCAGCTCTCCGCCGAGACCCGACGCAGAATTACATGGAGCTCCTGCGAGAAAAAAAAAGCCTTTGTCACTTTAAATCCTCAGCGTGTCGAAGTCGATGACATCATTGTCTGAGAACACATTACATCACCTCTTCCCAGGCTCCCTCTCTCCCCCTTTTGCTCACTCTTAAAGACCGCACCACCTCATGCTTACTGAGCTACACACACACACACACACACACACACACACACACACACACACACACACACACACACACACACACACACACACACAGATCTACTGATCTGTTTGCAGATGTGATATCTGTATCAGCATGCGTATTTATGACAGTAGCTTTAATGTACGTGCTGCTGGTGAAGTAAGGCTTTGCATTTAAATATATTCAGTTACATATTTTGCCACAATTTACTATTACATTCTATATTGTAATACCGGGAACAGAGTAAATGAGAATTCATTTCATGCTGCAGAAAAGGAGAACAATCATTTAGGATGTTGCTAAAGGAAGAAGTGTTTGGGTTTTTTTCCACATGGCTCTTTGCCCAGGGCGCAATTCTGCTTAGGGGTTTCCGACAAAATTCGACTCGCTGCTCCTATGTTTAACATTTACTGCCACATTGTCTCTAAATATTTAAAGGTTTATTTAACATGTGAAAACACCAAAAGAGGTTTTTATTTTAAGTTTTGAATCCAAAACAAATGGTGAATGTTTTTGTCCTGTTTGAATGAAGTCAGATATGTATCAACCTGTATCAAATCAATATCTGTCACAGAAATCACCAAAATGACGTCTTTTCAATTTCAGTGTTGAACATTACTTTGGTAAGTTTGGACATTGAGCAGATCAAAATAGTTTAAGTTTCTCATTTTAGAAAAAAAAAATCCCTTTTTTTTTTTTTTACATTTGTTCTAAATTTCCTGAAACTTTAATTGGTCCAGCTTGGTGTTCAGACACAACTCCCAAAAATTGTGTTCTGCATTTGTTGCACGTCATTTTGATGTTAAAATTTCTCATTTAGATTCTTTCCTGATGAGCCTTAAGATGGAAAAAAAAAAAAAAAAAACATTAAGAAACATGTAATTAAATCAAAACTGGAAAATATAACCACACTTGAAATGAGAGCAGAAGTTTCAAGAAATCACATCGTGGGTCAAGTAATGATTAATATGCACCAGCATCACAAACCATTTACTAGGTTGGCCACAGAGCATGAACCCCTGAAACACAGACAGGAGCATATTGAAGCACGGTGGTGGCAGCAGCATGCTGTAGGATGGATGTTATGTCTTCAACAAGACAACAAAACTTATCAGAGATGATCGCAATATGGAGGTTCACATTCTAATGTAGCAAAAAGACATGATAGAATGGATTAGATACATATTGGCCTATTCAAAGCCCAGACCTGAGTCCAAATGACAATCGATTGCAACATCTGCTGTTCAGATGAGAAAGAATACGAAATATAGAAAATAACAGGTAACATATTAATTCAGTTTATTTATATAGCAAAAATTCACAACAAGTGGCCCATTAATGTATTAGAATGGCCTAGTCAAAGCCCAGACCTGAATCCAAATAACAATCGATCCCCAGATCTGTTATTCAGATGAGAACGAATATTAAATTTAGAAAACCATAAGCCGGAAGTTGTCAACAAACGAGACAAAAATAGTTCAGTTCAATCAAACGGATCCCAGTTGATCCCAGTTGATCCCAGTTATCAAATTGTGCAGAATGCTCAGTTAATTCATTCTAATTTCAGCTCATATTTAACTTGATGTGGTGAGTTTGACACCATTTTTCGGCCTGCATCTCGTAACTGTATATTTAATCAGCTGTTTGATTGGCCAATGGCCGCGCGCGCGCGCGCCGGCGAGCTGAGCGCGTGTCGCGCGCGCGTAAATCACAGAGATGCGGAGAATGCTGAGAGAATGTTTCTTTAAGACCCATTACCTTCCGATCCGGCTGAGGGGGAGTCTGTGGTGAGGTGGCGGATCGTCTCTCCCTGCCTGCGCCCGCCGCGCCTCCCGCCTCCCGCCTTACATGTGGGGGGGGGGAAATAACGCGAAGGCTACTTTCGCACCGAGATGGATGGATGAGGGCATTCTGAAAACATTTTTTTATTTATTTATTTTTTTAATTCCAGCATCAAACATGGACACTCCAGACTCCCCGCGATGACTGTGGTAAGGATGCAACTTCACACCGCCCCATCGCAGCCCAGTTTCTGTTGACAAGAGAGGGGAAAAAAAGAGAGGAGATGCAGAAGAGAAATGTGCACGTACTGGTGAGTGCATGTGAAGCCGCGTAGGGCAGGCGGTTCGGTCTGTGCGTGTATGTGCGTGTTGGAGGGAGTCTCGGCTCGCAGCAGACCAACTGTGCAACGCTCGCCGCTTTTGTCCGCGTCAGGGGCTGACAGGTGTGTTGGCAACACTCAGACAGCGGCGTTTATTTAGGGCATCCAGTCAGAGAGGTGATGGGTTTGTTAACGGCAGGGCGGAGGGCGGAGAGGAGCGGGGCGCCGGAACACCACCAGGAGATGGATGCCTCTGAACGCTGGCCTACTAGAATGTGTTGCTTGTAATTAATCATGGCTGCAACTAAGCTCTTTGCCACTGGGAGCTGGGCAATTACACCACCCAGTTCGAGCTGCCGCTGCCTCTGTGGGGTTGTTGTTGATTGTTGTTGGTGATGTTTTATATGCCGGACCAGAACCGAACCGAATCCCGGCTCCTTCCTGTCGTTTCGAGCAAGGATGGGCAGGAGATCCCTCTGTTATACATCCAACAAGATTCCCATAGGGACGGAGTTTTGCGCGTGCGCGCTCGTGCGCTCCTCACCAAATGGTCTTTCCTCCTTCCATCCAGACATGGAGGTGCAGCAGATCAGGCGACATGTCAGCTGGGTGATGTTCCCGGATCCAGGTGCTTCTCATTCCGCCCTCCTCAGCCCGTCCGCCCGAACCCGCTTATTGATTCCACTGATGCGTTTCTGGCCCCGCAGGGGCGCACCGCTCCATCCTGGGAGGAGATGGGGGCGAAAAGGACGGAGGCCGGGGGGGAAGGCATCGGGTTGATTATTAGTCGATCTTCTTCTATTGAAATGTGATTACTACCGCATTCCAGGCGCACCGTGAACGTGATTTAACGTTACAGAGAGAGGCCGCCTCAGTGTGCAGCTTCCTGCTCCCCCGCCCCAGTAACTGGTGGAGGAGCGTGTTTTTCTCTCTCTCTCTCTTTCTCTCACCCACCAACACACACACACACACACACACACACACACACACACACACACACACACACACACACACACACACACACACACACACACGCACACACACACGCACACGCATGCACAAGCAGCAACATCACAGGCACAGTGGACTCTTTCCTTCTCACACACAAGGAGGATTTAATGACATAAAGCTCTTAATAACAAGACCTGCTCTGATGATGATGATGATGGTTATGATGCTGATGCTGATGATGATGATGCTGATGATGATGGTGTGGACAACTATGCCATAAAATCACATGTGCTCCCCACAATCAGAAAAACATTCCTGTTCAGCAGGAAGCTCCACATTTACATTAAAACCACAAACTTCTGTTTCTTACTGGGTTTTTATGTGACAGATAAACACAGAGAAGTAAATAATGACATGATTTTCAATTATTATTATTATTATTATTTTTGTTTTGTTTTGTTTTTAGCAAATGAAAAACAAAAAATTCTGGTGTGAATTAATATGCAGACCCTTCAAAAATCACAAAAACTGGCTCCTGAAAAGCCAATAATGTCAGTAATTAGATGCAAACATGTTCAGGTTTTATGTTTGTTTTATTAATTTCTTATTCCATAGATTTATTATTTTTTTTATTTCTTCTGTTTTGAATGTTATTTAGCACCAACCTGCCAATGAAAGTAGCAATGAAAATTAGCCAAAAATAAAAATAACATTTTAAGACCAAATTTGAACTTTTAGGAAGTAAAATCACAAAGCACTGAGTTTATACAAAGAACAAAACAAGAATGAGAAACACAGTAAAATCATCACATGAAAGTTTGGGATTTTGTTTTACTCTAAAACCCCGAAATAAAAAAAAATAAAAAAAACTTCAATCAGTTGCTTTCAGATTTCAGCTTATTAGTAAATTGGAGTCCTATGTGTATAATTTAATCTCATTATATTTCCTACAAATTATTAAATTCAGTGTTACATGCATCTCCATGTAACACTGCGATGTGATGCCATCTGTGCACTAAATCCTCGCTGCTAAATATGGTGGAGCCACTGGGAACGATCGCAACGACTCCACAGAGTCAACACACCTAAAGCAGGGGTGTTCAAAGTGAGGCCCGGGGGCCATTTGCGGCTCTGTGAACAGTTCTGGGGCGGCCCTAAATCACGTTTCGAGAATAGCGTAAAAATGGTTTGCTGGTTAAAATCTTGAAATGTGCAACACAGAATATTCATTCAGGGTTTTGCTTTGAATTTGATTTATTTTTAAAAATTGAGCCATAAACTTTTCCCGTCGCTAGAAAGAGACAAAAAAATCCAGAATAAGATGAAAATTTTAGTTTTTGATTTACTGTTTTGTTTTTTTAAGCTGGCAAACCTGAAACACCCTTTTTTTGTTTTAAGTCAACAAAGAACTACAGAAATCTGACTGCAGTCAGATATCTGTAGTTCATCAAAATATTGTGTTTAGTTTGTTTAGCGAGTAAAAGTTACAAAATAAAATAGTTTTTCCGGTTATAGTTGAAAGTACGATGAATTTTGTGGCCCTCAGAGTGGTTGCAACTTGACATTGCCATAAAGTTTGGTCACCCTGAAGCCTCGTGTGGCCTTCAGATCAGCTCAAAACAGGAACCAGGATCTTTAAAAACTGTGTTTTCATTACTGAACAGCTTCGCAGGCCTTACATAACATCAGATGCTCTGGAGTGAAGACTGGAGCGCTGGAGGCTTCCTGTTTTCGCCAATAAATTCTGCCTGAAGTCTGGACTCTGGGTTTGGCCGTTTGCAGGAGAACGCCATGTTCCTGCCTGAATTAAATGTGACATTTGAGGCGAAGAGAATTATAGTTTGGGGCTGATCTTCAGGTTAGCAATACGTCAACACAACAAGACGCTGCACCAATCGATCGGCTCCGATTCCCTTCAGACTTTTACAAAAATATGTTGATTCTGTATAAAACTGTCACCTCTGTGTGCCAGTGAATCTGATCTCCTCCTCCATGAGCTGCTATCAGCGTCTGAAGAAACTCATCGATCCTGATCAAAGATCGATTAGTTTTTAATCTGACAGGTTTCGATGTTAGTGTTCCAAGAAAACGGTGGCCAAGCTAACTAGCATTAGCATTGATGGGAGGCTATGTTGTGGTGAACCAGCTGTAGGGAAGAAGAGAGGAAGCCGGACAGGGTGAGCATGAGCATGATTGACAGCGTTAAGACCCTCCTCCTGGCTCTGGCTGGTTGCTTTTGACTAAGTTGTATATTTCTGCAGTTGGCACTGGGAGCACTGGGAGAAGGTCCCTTTTTTTAGAGAGTATCTGTCTTGTACTGTCACAACATGACAATTTTAACAAATACATCTGTAAAAGTTAAATACTGCAGGGTAAAATATTAACACTCCTTAAACTTTTGGAAAATCTTCCTACAATAGTCGAGACATAAATTTGTAGTTTCTAGTTTCAACTAACTAAAAAAAACTTTTTGAAAACAAAGCTGTTGCTTAATGAGGTCGCTACAAGTTGTTTACACTGTCTCCCTTTCATTACACATCCATAAACACAGAGGTCATGACCTCCCGGCTGACGCTTCACTCCAAACTGCAGCTTGCACACTAATGTTGGTCTGAACTGATTCAGCTGTTTTCCCAGAGAAGCCTCGCTGAAACACTGAGAAGAGTTAGCATGAATGCAAAGCGCTGCTAAAAGACCTCTGACCCCGTTTTCCTGTCTGCAGCCTGTTTCCCAATGAAGTGTTTATGCAACTATCAGTGAACTCAGGTTTGTTGAAAACGATGAAATATCTTCCTGAAATTCTTATTAGAAAGTCCTTGTCAGGTTATATCAGTTTGCTATGTTGTTATATCTTCTTTTCACTTGAAGAAAACTTTAAGAAAATGAGGATAAAATGAATTATTTTACATACATATAAATATTAATAGAAGAATAATGGACACTTTTAAATTCTCGTCCATTTGAATGTGAGATGCAAATGGCACTCTTTGCAGTAAAGATGCAGAAGTCAGTGGAGTTATTGTCTCTTTTGGAGACCTAACAAACCGGCTTCCTTCTGGGGCTTTAAAAGCTGTCTGGTGAATCCGGTCAGCGTTTAATTAATCACACTGGTGAAAAATGGCTTTCAACAAGTGATTTAAATCGTAGAACTTTTACTCTGAAATACCTCAGTGGCCTCAGTGTCTCTGACAACTAGACTGAGAATATTTATAGTTGTAAACTCTTAATCTAAATACCATTGTCCTAATAAATGGGTATTTTTAAAATTCTGATCTATTTAATATATAACGATTTTGGAAGAGGTTTTGTAAGTTTGATGCTTTGGTCTCAACTGAACCAAAGTTAATTCAAAATTTATTTTATTTGTTGTTTTCTTCATTTAAAATGATTCCAGTTCCAGTGTTAAATGTTCATTAGATTTAAAATTTACTAATCTTTCACAATGTGCTCTTGCATTGTTATTTTGCCTTAAACATGGTCTCACAAAAACAATATTATTGTTTATTACAATAACTTCTGGAACAATTTATTGTTACTGCAACCGACAGAGTCTTTCTCTAATTACTTTCTTGTTCAATTTCTCAAATGATTTGGATGATTTTTATAGAAATGTAATAAATACAAACTAACCATCAGGCTGAACGTTTCCTATAGTTGTACACGTTGAGGTTTTCTGACTCTCCCAGCAAGAGAAGCACAGCCTGCTTTTAAAAATCAGCACTAAGCTTCTTTTCTTGCCAGGAATGAAATTATTATAACAACTAACATTGTGGCTTTTCCAGATCAAAGAGCTCTTCTGCTTTTGATTCTCCGTAAACCATTTCTTATTCATTAATTCTGTCACGTTACAGTTCTTGACTCAACATCACGTCACTTCCTACCTCCTCAAATTCCCCTGAAAGCTTCTGGGAACCGCAGACGCTTTAAAAACCGAGTCAACGATAAAAGCAGGAGCAAAATGTTGTGGGAAAATCGAGGCAGACGAAGCTGCTGATTACTGACTGTGAACGTTATATTGCAACATTTTTTAAGAAATGGATCCAAAATTGCCATTACAGTCAGCCTGCAGTGAAGTCAGATGCTTCATATCTGGACTTATCATTAACTTTAATTAATTTCAATAATATTCTGACTCAACTTTGAAAAATGTTTCTTTTTATGGAATTATTAGAGCAAAATTCTTATTTATTTAATCACATTAAAAAGATCAGAATTTATATTTATTATAGTATATATTACATAACATCATTTTGGAAGAGGAAAAAATAAACAAATGGAAATAATGATATAGAAATGAGCTTAAAAAGTTACTGTTGTTCTGTTGTGCCTTTAAATTATGGATTTGCAGTGAAGGGGCTGAATACAAATGCACGCCACACGTTTCAAATTCATTTTGGTGCAGATTTGTGAAAATGGTTCATTTCTTTTCCTCCTCTTCACTGTTATGCATTTCTTTATATTTATCCTCCACATAAACGCCACAACAAACCCAACAAACTCCACCAGTTTGTGGCTTTAATGAGGGAAAACTGGAAAACGTGAAGGGAATGTGATAAAAACAGCAGCTAACATGTGAAATACTTTTGTTTTTTAAGCTGAACTTTGCTTGATGACAGTCAGATGTTTTTACAGTCATAAATAGGTTGGTTGTCGTCGTATTTTCAGTATTTTGACTCAAGTTTTCTCTTCAGTTTCACTGAGACGTTTCTGAAGAGCAGAACCGCCAACACTGACCTTGTTTAACACACAGAAACGCTGCAGAGTTCTCTCTCCTTTATGCTCATTTTTGAGTCAAAACTCCTTGCGAACTTGTGGGAGATTTTGTTTTTTTACAGTGTCATATTTTATTATGAAATCGGGTCAAACCAAGAACTGCAAAGAAGAAAGGAATAAAAGTAGGAAAAGCAGATGAAAAAGGAGGGAGGAAATATCAGCAGATATGGAAGAATGTAGCCGGAAGTGACCCAATTCTGATTTTTTTTTGCCTTAATGTTACCTGAATCCGATCTTTTCCAACACAGATTGGATTTTTCTCGACCCAGGCCACTTGGATATCCGATACGCATCCGAACTTTTCAAATTTGACCCGAATCTGAACGTTGCGATACGTATCGCCCCGCGCATATCGTTTGCGCCCCGATACGCGCAAACGGGAAGAACGACAACAACCACATCGGACTATAATGAAGATTAAACTGTAAATGTTCTGGCTCTGATCGGATAACTTCTAAATCGTAAGTAATGCTACACCGTTATCATCAATGTTTACTTCTGCAAACACTGCTGTCCAGGTGTGACGTTATTGCGCCCTCTACTGCGCATGCGGGACACTTTCAGGTCGTTTGTGGTTCAACTGGAGACAAATCACTTATCTTTGGAAATATGAATCATAGGTAAAAAATAAATACGTAAAAAAATCCGGTTTGAATCGGGAGTCACTTCAGGCTGCAGTGTGAACGTAGCTAAAAACAATAAATTATTGAGTTAATTTACTTCCAGAAACTAATTTCACCTAGAAAAACACATTATGTAGATTAATTACACGCAGACTGATGTTGTAAAACCCTACATGTCTGTTAATTGCAATAATTTTCTTCTTGCAGCTAATAAAACATTTAAGATTTGAATATTACACCAGACTAATAAAAAAAATGTAATGTGATGTTTATAACAATGATGTTAAATAACTGCCTAAATGTTATATTGAATATACATTTTAACAGAATTTGAACCAAATTTGATGGAAAATAAAACATCTTGCTATTGTTACGTTGTCTGTTTATATGTTTTTTGTACAGACCTGGAAGGTTTCCAGGCTTAGAAACGCTGACTGTCATTTTCGTGCAATCTGAGATCCTGAAGCAGGACAATAGAAGACAATTAGAGCTAGAATTTCTACTTTTTTATAATTCAGGTCCTTATTAAGATGCTAATCTATTAGTTTCTTTTGATCAAAAATCTGAGTGGAAGCAATCATCATGTGATTCTGTCAGCTTCCTCTGACGTTCCTCATTCTGTCTTTGTATGTTATTCTGTCCTTTCTGATTTGTGCGTAGCAGTTCCTCTGAAGTCTCCGCTAGCTGAGCTAATGCTACGCTTGCTCTGTTTTGCAGCTCTTCCTGCTCTGCCGTGTGGAAACCATTTAAAGCGACCGGCCCGCCTTTGTCCCTTCCTGGTCCTTAACCCTTTCCCTTCCATGTCCCTGGCCAACCCTGGACACCCCCTGGAAGAGCATCGCTGCGTTATTTGCCTCTTCTGCACAAACATTCGGATCATTTCCCATGTAGGTCAGGACTTTGTCATGGAAGACTAGTAAGCAAAGAGAGCAAACACAACAGCAATAAACCCAAGAAGAAGTGGATGTAGAGACAACCAAAGGGATGCTATTTTTGGAAGATGTAATATATTTTAGGATATATTTTATACATCTAACTTTTAGTACGAGCAAATAGAAAAACAAGAGAGTTTGCACGTACAATCCCCCCGTTAGGTTTCGTCACTATCTCCACTCACACGCCGCGGTCTCATGATGATGTGTGAGGTGATGCCCACCATATCTGAGGATGGGCGCAGCGGCGGCGGCGGAGGCCCCACCTCGCCGCCCGGGGCCGGGGTGGGCGGGGGCCCCGCCGGAGCCCTGGGCGGAGGGGGATTCAGCAGCAGGGAGCCCAGGGGGGACGAAGGAGGCAGCACGGGGAACCTGGAGTCACTGATGGTCAACATGCTGACGGAGAGGGAGAGGCTGCTGGAGAACCTGAGGGAGACGCAGGAGAGCCTGGGCACGGCGCAGCTCCGCCTGCGCGAGCTCGGCCACGAGAAGGAGTCGCTCCAGAGGCAGCTGTCCATCGCTCTGCCGCAGGTGAGGCGCTGGTTCGGATGGACCGGAGAGCAGAGCCTTACAGGGGCAGCATTATGTGTTTTCCAGGCACAAAGTGCCACTTTATAACTTCAGTTGTTACAAAAAGTGCTGCAAAGTACAGAATCTTACCAAGTATTTTAGGTCTAATTTCTAGTCCAAATATCTTAGTAAACTTGAAATTAGACAGAACGAAGTCAAGAATTTATCACAACATGGCTGCTCTATTAACCCTTTAATGTTTTTACCAGCATTGCTCTGAGAAGAAGCTCCTATAATGAGCTCAGATGTGCAGGACCATCAGGTGTTTGCTAATTGTTACTGGCTAGTCTGAAGGAGCTGAATGGGGGAGAAGCTATCCCTTTAAGGTGGAGCCAGGTGTTTTGCACAGGTGAATGGTTGCCATGGTGATTAAAGCATTAAAGCATGAAAGAAAGACTCTAGCTATGATTTTGATGAGGAAATAACGTCATAACATGATGCAGAGTCAACGGGTGCACTCTTAATAAAAGTTAACACAAACTCAAACATTTAGGTTCAAAATCTAAAACTCACTAAATTTATTTGTCTTGAAGAGAAGAAGAAAGATGACAGAACTAAATGCAGCTCTAAAGTTTTCCAGTGTGTCTGATTAGAGTGAAAAAAGGACTTTAGGTGAAAAAGTGATGCAAAGACAGACAGACTGACTGACTGAGGCTCCATAGAAAAGACAAAGAGACGATAAAGGCCAACTGAGAATCTGACCCCGATCCAAACAAGAAACAATCCCATGAGGCCGATGGCCAATGAACCCACTGTGTCACCATCTGCATGCCTCTCACTCCGTCTTCCTCTCCTCCCTTTCAAACACAAACAAGTTATATTTACCTGCTTTTCTCTGTTTCTAACCATAAATCAGGCCGCTGCACACACCTGAAACACGCAAGGCGTCTGTACAAACAGCCGCCGGCGCTAAGCTGCAGCCGTAGGTGTCTTTTATGGAAATGACAAATGACCACAGATGGTGCGGGGCTTCGGAAAGATCACGCAGGACACGGCGTCCTGTTTGCGCCCCGGCGCTGCAGATGTATTCCCAGCGGTGTCATAAACGCCGTTTGATGCTTTGTTCTGGGGGTCTCTGCGGAGCGCTGCGCCGTCGGCCTGTTGCGTAACAGCCTGATGTAATCTGTCCATGAAGAAGAGTTCACTGGGGAGAATCTGTGTCAGTGATTCACCTGATTGTTGTGTAGCTTTACATCATGTACGACCTACAGCTTCGGTCTCCGGCGTCTTGCTGAAAGTGTTTCTGGGAGCCTTTTGGTTGTGTATATTTTTAGCTTTCTTGAAGCAGCCAATTATACTTAATTTTGCAGAAATCCCTATTTATTTATTTGTTGTGTACCTTGCTCTGTCTCATTGCAGCCCAGCCACATTTAGAGTATTACAAACATGCATTCAGTCTGTTTGTTTTCCTGCTCCTGACTCCAGTGTGTGTGTGTGTGTGTGTGCGTGTGTGTGTGCGTGTGTGTGTGTGTTTCACAGGAGTTCGCTGTGTTGACTAAGGAGCTGAACGTTTGCCGGGAGCAGCTTCTGGAGAGGGAGGAGGAAATTGCTGAGCTCAAGGCGGAGAGGAACAACACACGTGTAAGATGTTTAGCGGCCATTTTGCCTATTAGCGCCGTTGCAGCCTCTGACTTCGCTGCTCACCCCGCTGTGGCTGTGTGGGTGTGAAGCCGCTTCATTGGCCTCTGTTTCCTAATTATCTCGTTTTTTTGCCCATTCAGATTCTAACTCCACCTCCTTCTTTGTCTTCCTATGTTTTTATTTTTCCTCCTTCCGTGTTCTTTTACATTTTTTGTGCAAAGCTGTTCCTTAAACGTTCTCCTTTTCCCACATGACCAACTTTAAGTGCATTTATTGTATTGTTTATTGTAAAAAAAAGTATAATATTTTATCATTTTATTCTTTCACTACCAGAAAAAAATCCCAACCAGACACAGATTGAAATAAATATTAATATTTTATTTATCGGACTGATACCGATACGTTAAAAAATGACTAATATCGACCGATACCGATATAAATTTCTGCTGGAATTTAAGTCTCCAACTTTCCATTAACTGTGACCAGCTTCCCCACAGCATGACGCTGCCACCACCTTATTTCAGATGATAATTTACTTATTAGTATAACCAATGGATCTCTGCAGTCCGACTCCGTTTAACGAACACGGTGGCTTGCACTTTATTTTATTTAATCCTACTTTTAGACTCAATTTTATTTAATTTATTTGTTAATTGACATTTTTGTAAATGCGGCAGAATTAGCCACAGTGATACTTTTCCCGTGTTGTGTCTGGACAATGAGTAACTTGTCTTGCTAAAAACAAACAAAGGTGATACAAACGAGGCTAAAACGATTTAACGTCATAAATAAATCTGCAAATAAATACAATCAATGCAAACAGTAATTGCAAAACAAGGAAACTAAAACAAAATGATTATGAAAGTATAAGAAGTCATTTAAAAATAGCAGTAGGAGAAGGTCCTTATTATTCAAAATGTTGACAAATCTAATGTGTAATGAGCCTTTAATGTTGTTCTAAATAGATTGTAACTGAGATTTTACATCCATTTTCAACCGCGTTTCAATTTTGCATTCATTTCTGAAGGTTTGTCACATAAAACATTTCCTGATGTTGACTTCCCTCTCCGCCTCCATCCTGCAGCTGCTGCTGGAGCACCTGGAGTGTCTGGTGTCCCGCCACGAGCGCAGCCTGAGGATGACGGTGGTGAAGCGGCAGGCCCAGTCCCCTGCAGGCGTGTCCAGCGAGGTGGAGGTCCTCAAGGCTCTCAAATCCCTGTTTGAGCACCACAAGGCCCTGGACGAGAAGGTGGGTCAATGCAGCGGTGGGATATATTCACTTTTCTTCCATCTTCCAGCAAATCATCTGGGCTTACCCTACTTTCCTTCCTGCTCTCATTAAAGTTAGTGTGGAGATGCTCTGAAGGTGCCTGCGTGCTGCCTGACCTAAAACGAAACTTCAACCGAACTAACCGCTGGAGGATGGAGACAATTTAGTCAAAGAGCAAAACAGGAATGTTAAAAAAAAACAATGATAATAATTTAACAAGCACAATAGGATAACCATTTACATTTAAAAAATACACTTTAATTTGAATAAATTCATTCAGTGGGTAAAAACATTTAGATCAGAGTGTTTAGAAACTTTAAAGTAGTTCTGATTTTTTTTTACTTGCATTTTTAATATAACTTGACATAAAGGCCAAATTTCTCTTTGCTCTTTTGCAAAAACCAGGAAGACAGGAGAACATGTCTGTCGAATCCGAGCTGTTAAACTCCAGAAACTTAAGTAAACATGAAGTTAGTGATTACAGCTGTCACTGTCGTTATGTCTCATAAATAATACTAAGGTTAACGAATGTCACAACATAATTACTTCTGAACTTAATGTAATTATGCTTTGGGTTTATTGTAAACACTAGATTATTAGTCGTCCATCCAGTGCCTGAAAAATAAATTATTCCCTACTTTCATCTGAGCGACAAAATGTTATTAAAAAAGTTGCTTCTGGACAAAACTTAAATCACTGACCATGTTGTAAAATCAAAAATCGTTTTTAAAACAAATTTGATTTCATATTTTTATAGATTGTTTCCCTCTTCCACTCTTTTCCAAACAAAACCACTTTGAAATAACAGAATATTTAAATCATCCTTTTTTTGAGTTGACCTGGATTTAACGTGGAAATAAATAGAAGTTGTAAAAACGGCGTTGAAACCTGACGGTTGTTCTTACGTGAGAAACCTGAAGAATCTATTGGTGGGAAAAAAAAACCCCGAAAAACAATTTTCCAAAGATAAAATCTACAAAACCAGAAAATCTATTTACTGCTCAGACATAACGGTAATAAATTTGGGAAACATCAAGACAACATAAGTTTAAAGTAGGACGTGAGTTTATCCTCCTGAGTCAAGCGAACACCTGTTAGCCTTTACCTGTCCACGATGACAGACGTTTAAACGACGTGTAACTGTGACATAAAGGGCTGGATGGTCACAGCTCAAAGTCAAGAAGCTGATAAGGGAAGTAAGAAAACTAATCTCCAGAGCGCAGCGTTGGAGAACTGCAGTATATTTTTTTTATTGAGAGATTAATGCGCTGGAACACACTGTAGCTTTTTACATAATCTACCAGGTGTGTCAGTGAATATAGAGAAGAAAAAAAGGTTTTAAAAGGGAACGTTGTACCAACAATGAACAGTTTTTAATGCCATATATGAGGCATGTTTCCATTCTCTGCGTTTACAGGAAAATAAAAACTGTGTTTATGATGAAAATCCAGAGAAAATAAGAGCATTTCTCCCCAGGGCGAACAAATGAGCTCTCATTCCTCCCTAGACAGACTCAATCTAGCTTGATAATCAAATTTCTGGATCAGCATTTGCTCAGTCCAGAGGAAATGGTCAATATGTTGCATCTGAAAAAACGTTTCCAATCTGCCATTGGTGCTTCTAGACGTTGTGAATAATGAAAACGCTTTTGGCACCATTTTGCTTTTTCCTCTCCAGTTCCTCCTGCACCCAAAGAGTAGAGCTGATTTCTTACAATGATGTTTGTTTCAGTTTTCTTTATTAATGGAGCACAAACACAAAACCAAGGACTTTGGTGCAGTTTTGAGTGCAAATGTTTTAGTGCATTTGAAATAAGACAAAACTAACTTACAAGTAACTTTTCAGGAAGACACTGTTAGGTGTCAGTAATTCCAATCCTAGTAGATTATTTCACTTATAACGAGACATTTCTCCGTACTAGAGATGAAATAATCTGCACTTATCATATCGTTTATCATTTATCGTGATAAATTTCTTATCGTAAGAATTTTCACAATAAATTTAAATGAATGATGTTCAAAATTTTTAAAATCCCCCAAAACTGTTGTTATTTTTACAACTTTCTACACTAACAGTGACAGTATCTATAAGTTTCGATACAAGTCATGGAGTTGAGCACCGCGGCGGCCATCTTACCTGGGTCATCGTGTGTTTTCCCCCTCAGGTTCGAGAGCGGCTGCGCGTGGCCCTTGAGAGGGTGTCCATGTTAGAAGATCAGCTCGCAGCGTCTTCTCAAGAGGTGAGCTCAGACACAAACCAGCTCCTCCAACTCCTTCAGCGAGATTATTAATCCGAAGTTTCTGTTTGGACTTTCTGTGTTCCTCTTTGCAGGTAATCTCTTTAAGAGACCAAATTAAAAGACGTCAGCAAGGGGTGGACGGCGGGAAAGATGTAAGGGAGGGTTTTCTGCATGTTGGTTCCAGTTGTCTTTGTGTTCGTGTTAGCAAAGTAGATTTTGGGTACCATGGTGTGTCAGTGTGATTTTCCACCTCTTCCGAAGTTTTAAAAAAGATCCAAACTCATTATTTTTCTTGGTTACTCTCATTTTTTCCGTCCTCTTTCCAGCGGCTCCCCAACGGGCCCTCGTCTGGGCTGGAGGACGGGGAGCTGGAGAGGCAGAGGGAGGGGGAGATAGAGCGGCAGAAAGCCGAGCTGTCCCAGCTGAGGGAGAGGCTGGCCCTCATGTGCCGACAGGTCAGTGAGCCTCATGTTGAGCCTCAGGTTTCCAGCTCTCTTTAGCCGGGATGCCAACTTCAACTTAACATTTTCAGCCAGAAAATATTGACCCTTTGCAAATGCATTACTGAAAATCATTCCTGGCGCCATGACAGTGCTAACCGGTAGTTAGACATACTTCCTCCATCATGCAATGACATTTTTCTAATCACACTTATAAAATATCTGAATATTAATCTTCTGACCTTGTAAAAAGCCTTCGCTACAAATCCGCTATCATCACTGCAGCATCTTTCCTCACTGAAAGTCATGCAATGAAATGACAAGTTTGGTTTCTGTCTCTGTCTGTTGTGCAGCCAAGCGCCCTGTGACCTTTGTTAAAGTGAGATCAACCAGAGAGAAGTGATGTTTTTCAACCTGCTGCCTGTTTTCTGACAGGCTTGAAAGGAGCGCACTGATTGTTTTGTCATCCGTCAGCAGATTTCTGCAGCGCGTGACGTCACGAAGGGCCAATCGCTCCCAAAACAGAAAACCTTCTCCCTCTAGTGGCAAATTACGCGTTTGCAGTAAAAAGCTGCAGAAATATTGGATATCAGCCAAAATAAGTATTTTTTTAGCCTAATCTTGATTTATATAATTATTGACATACAAAAAAATGGTTTGACTGAAGATTAAAAAATATTTTGCTTGTACATTAACCAGATGGAGATTGTCATCAGTCGCTGTTGTTTCAGTTTGACATCTAATAATAGTGAATTCTGCAGGTTCAGTGTGTGGCGTTTTCTCTCTCTCACACTAGGTTGGAGAAATAGAGGAACAGCTTGCGGCCGCCAGGAGGGAGGTGACGAAGACGGAGGAGGCCAATCAGAAGCTCCAAAGGGAAGTGAAGGAGGTCTGTTGCACCAATCTGTCCCTTCCTGGCCCAGACCCGGAGCTGTCTCAGCACCCGGGGCTCCAGGGGTAGATCCAGACTCTGTGGGCACAGCGGCTAATAATACACCGGGTTATTCTGGGGCTGCGCTAGCAGGAAATCAGGCATTGTTTAACAGTTAATAGATTTTATATATTTATTCGGATTACTGATATTTTAGACCCAAATGTATGCAAAGAGAGGAGTGAATAGTAACACTGCAGAGACTAAAGAGAATGCTTACGCAGGGCAGAAATGCATATTTTCTCCTTTTGTTAGCATTAATCAGTTTTCAGGGCTGCACAATAACAGCTGCGTTGTTGGATAGAATAACCTGAACTGCGGTTTTTTCAGGCTCTCTGCCAAAGAGAAGACATGGAGGAGAGAATTACAACGCTAGAGCGGAGGTAACAGGACATAACCAAATGTCTCAAATGCAAAATCACTGAGTTTGTGTTTGTTTCCAAAAACTTTCCCCCCTTTAGTGCGACATGTCCTCCACCTTTCAATGAAAAATGAACATTTTAGATGAAAATGGTTGTAAAATGTGGCCAAAAGTGGAAAACCAAGCAAACTTCTGTGATGGATCTTCAGCTATAAGGCAATTTAAATTCACACTAGCTAATGCTAATGTTTGTTGTGAGCTAGCATGAAGCTAGTTTAAACTGTTGAAGCGACTTTTGATTTGGCATCCCACTCTACTTTGCTAACGTTTTCCAAATATATCAGATTTTGAAGAAATGTTTCTGGCACCTATAGATGTGCTTCTGAACTTTTCTGACTTATTTGGAAGATGGACGTTTCATCCATCGTCACATAAAAATCCAGTTCAATCAACTTTTCTCATAAATTCTCTTCAATGTTTCTTTCCGTCTCTGGCTACTTTCCAACTTCTCTTTCCTTTAATTTAGGAGCAATCTCCTTTTTTATAACATCAGTTCATGTTTTCTCAAATTACTGAACACACAGTTTTTGTACCCTCCTCCTGACTGATACCTTTACAAGTTGAACTTTTTGCAATTCTGTAGCCTCTATAGAAACTTTTTCTTTTTGTTCAGGGGTGGAAAAGAGCAAAGTGCAAGAAAAACCTACTGTGGGTCCTACATTTTATTTTTAGGTCAATCAGATTCATTTTATTTGATGGCAGGTGTGACTTCCTAAAGAAGACTGGATGATAAATAAATAAGTATTAGCAGTGAATCGTATGATGCCCTGTTTTTATTTTATTTTTTGCAGCCTGGTGAGATGCATACAGAAGAATATTATGAAACAAAATTCTGCCTTTAATCTCAGATTTATGACTTTCCTTAAAATTCTGACTGAGACTTTCTGACTTTAATCTCTTGAGATTAAGTCTCGAGAGATTAAAGTCAGAATTCTGAGAAAACAGTCAAAATTCTTCTTTTTTTTTCAGTGTCTCTAATCCTCTCCTGCAAAACCAGAACTGAAACTAAAATATGTGACAACCTGAACCAGAAACATGCTGGTTTCCGTTGCCTGCAGGTATCTCAGTGCCCAGCGGGAGGCGACCTCTCTCCATGACATCAAAGACAAGCTGGAGAACGAGCTGGCCAGCAAGGAGTCCCTGTACAGACAAGTAAAAAAAACAACACCTCTCTGTTTGAGAGCAAATATGAAAGTGGATCTGGAGGTGCATTTCCAGCCGCAGAGCTCATAAACATGACTTTGCTTTTCTGTGTCCAGAGTGAGGAGAAGAACCGGCAGCTGCAGGAGCGTCTGGACGAGGCCAAGCAGAAGCTGCAGCAGACGCTGCAGAGGGCCGAGACGCTGCCGGAGATCGAGGCGCAGCTCGCTCAGAGAGTCGCTGCTCTCAATAAGGTGATCATGTTTTACCAGAGCTGGAGGAGTTCAGCATCTGCACCCAAGTAAGAGGAGCACGACTTCAACTCAGAGTACAGAAGTATAGACTACTCAGGTACTGAGTAGCTTACATCATCATTTGTATCAAAACATAAAGTTATGTGGGAAATGTTGGTATTTTAAGGATCAAAGTGAAAATATATGTCAGTAAAAAGAAAAAAACATCCAAGTCAGTTTCTTTCAATATAAAAGTCAAGAAACACAAACTGCAGCTGAGTGTCTGTCTGGTGGATTTCTGTTTCTTCTTCATTCAGTGAGTAAAAATCCAGAAATTTTACTCAAAAATGACTCAAGTGATGGAACAAAGAAGTACAGCTGTGAAGTGGAAGGAACATTTTTACAAAAGCATTTAGATTCTGATTCTACTAATTACGTAATTATAAGAAACTCAGTCAAATCCACTGAAACCAGGAACTGTCAGAAAAGTTACCTTGGAGGTTTAAGGCAGAGTTAAGTTAAAAAATATTCAATTCAGTTCAAATTGAAAACGATTCATTGATCTAAAGGGGAAATTGAATTCAAATAACCTTCTTGATTTTCTGTAAGATCCTCCTTGGATGTTCTGTTAAATCTGTGATCCTGAAATAATTTTGACTGTAATTTCAGATTTAATTCTTCTTCAGAGATTCTGGATTTGATGACTATCATTGAGCCTCTGTTTCCTCTGGTTTCTACATTTTTCTGTTGTCACATAAAATCCCATCTGAAACATGTTGGTTTGTGGTTGTTACATGAGAAAACAAGAGTGCAGCTTATTGCTCTCATAATTTAAAAACTGTGATTTGTTATCAGGCGGAGGAACGCCACGGGAACTTTGAGGAGCGACTACGGCAAATGGAAGCCCAGCTAGAAGAGAAAAATCAAGAGCTACAACGGGTAACATCGTTTTCTTTCTCTTTGGCTTCATTCACTGGAGATTTTTCTTTCTATTCTTTCTTTTTTTGACGATAAGTTCTGTTTTTTTTTTGCCTGATTTCAGGCCAGGCAGCGGGAAAAGATGAACGACGAACACAACAAACGGCTCTCGGACACGGTGGATAAACTTCTGTCTGAGTCCAACGAGAGGCTTCAGCTGCACCTCAAAGAGAGGATGGCTGCGCTGGAGGAGAAGGTGAGGAGAAACCAGAGGTCAGAGGTCAGCTTTGTTTGGCAAAATGCAACAAAATTACAACAACGCTCTCCTCTTTCACTGCCAGAACGCGCTTTCTGAGGAGCTGGCCAACATGAAGAAGATCCAAGATGATCTTCTCGCTAACAAAGTGCTCATCTCTCCTCTTGTTTGTTTTTTTTTTTGACTGTATATTAAATGTGAAGTTCCAGTGAACAAACTGGAATCTTGCTGTGGTTTTCTTTAGGATCAGCTCCTGGCTGAGCTGGAGCGGGTCCAACTGGAGCTGGATCAGCTGAGAGGCAGACCCGGCTCCTCCTACTCCAGGTTCGCCTCCATCCACCTTTAACTGAACCCACTCGTGTTCACAGACTGAAATGATTGAAATCACCACATGCATTCATCCAAAACATAAATGTCCTGATAAATTGGAGCGACTTGTTCAGGCAGTTCGAGGTGGAATGATGCAACAAACAACTTTATTGATCTAAAACACTTTTAATTACATTTAACAAGAGGCACTGATCCTCAAAGTGATCAGTGTCTTCTCCGGGTCGGGGAGGCTGTCCTGCCCCAAGTGGAGCCGGTCAAGTATCGGTTCAACGGAAATGATCAATACTGTAATTTATCACATGATTTATTAATTTATTGCAATTTCTTGTTTTAAGTATTAGTTTTTGTTACATAATCATTCCACCTTGACATAAAATGTCACTTCTGAAAAATTATTTTAATTTTTTTTCAAAATCAGAAAAACCTTCACATTGTTTTACTCCTGAAAACCCCAAATCGATCGATATCATATTTATGCCCATGATGCATGTGTGAACTCTGATGAACTGTAGCCACCATCTTGAAAATGGAAGCTGTCATTTTCAGTAAGCGTTGCATAACAAATAAATTCTGCGTCTCATCATAGGGCGGGCAGCGTGAGCTCACTTCCCTCCACCCTTTTTCGAAGATCTCTTCCAGGGAGCGCCTCCGAGCTGCGGTACCCTCAGGGCGGAGGCTCGCTCCCGGCCGGCTACGGCAACTCCTCCAGTGGGGTGGTGGTCAGGCGGGCCCACCGCGGCCGCTGGGGCCCTCCCAGGGACGACGGCGGCAAGGTGGTCATCTCAGGCCGACACAGCACACTGTAAAACATTAGGAACTGCTTTAACTTGAAAATAAAAGCCTTGAAAATGCAATTTAATTCAACAAGAAAATAGTTTTGGTTTTAACTCATAAATTAAAGTTCATGAAGTCGATTTAACAACAAGAGACAAGTTGTCTAAACATTGTTATTAAGTTTATTAATCTTGAATTGTGAGTTTTAACTTAATGCTGCAATTTAAGCCAAATTGTTATTCCACAATATGCAAGAAAAAATACGCTCACCCAGATAAACAGAGACATTTCTCTATTATTTTAAACACAATTTGAAGTTAAAATAACAAATTATTTTACTGTAGAATAATTTAAATTCTAGTTTCAAATCACATGAACCAAATTTCTGACCTGATGATAAATTTTATTAAACATCTCAATGAATTCAGCTCAGAAACATTTACTGTGATCAGGACTTTAAAACAAACATTTGCCTTAATAATATAACGCACTTCCATCTCAGGAGACAGAAACACGCCGCTAAGCATTCTGGGAAATAGTTTCTCAGTTTTTTAAATGTTAACCTAAAAACTCTGATTATTTAACTCTTAATAAAAAGTTAACCATCTTTCACAAACACACACATTCAGGCTCAAACTCTAAAACTCACTGCATTTATTTGTCTTAAAGAGAAGAAGACAGCAGAACTGAATGTGGGTCGGATATTTTACAGTGCAGATCTTGTTACAAAAGCTAATTTCTAATTATTCATGAGAAAGACTTTGTTTCTCCTCTCAGTATGGAGACTGGGACGGCAGCAACATGTTGCCTCCCGGGTTTGAGGGCGGCATCGAAGGCGGCGGCTCTGATGACGAAGACGACAGAGAGACTCTGTTCGGGTCTGAGCTCCTGTCTCCCAGCGGACAGACGGACGTCCAGACGCTGGCCATCATGCTGCAGGAGCAGCTGGAGGCCATAAATAAGGAGATCAAGTGAGTATCACTCAATCTTTCTCAGCTTTTATTTATTATTTTTAACATTTTTATCAGTTTTGTGTTTTCACAAGCAGAGAAAATAGAATATTGTACCTGTGCATAAGTCTGCGTCATGTCTTCAAAGCCTGACATCAACACAATCATATCTAGATGATCAAAAAAGAAGAAGAAAGATGCAAAGTGATACAGGAGGGTGTTCTGTAGTTCCATGTATTTTCTTTGAGTGTATTACATATAAAGGTTGAATTCTTTCTGAATTTTTTAACGTTACTTAAATGGGCATGCAAGTCTGAATGCACTGTAATAGTTATAGAGATGCAGGAAATGCTAATTCTGGTTGAACCAAGTTAACATGAATAGTAATTTATTGGGTGTAAAAATAAGCTCATACTTCTACCTCCTGCTTTGAACGTGTCAATATATTTTACTACTTTGTTTGTTTGCTTTTTTAAAAAATAGCTTTTATTTGTATATCAATCAATGAATCAATTTTATTTGTGTAGGAACAGTTTTAAGTGCTTCATATCGTAAAAACACAAAAAATACAAAGTTATAGAACAAAGTCACATAATTCCTATTCTTCTGGATTTCTTGTATCCAGAACTGCTGCAGAAACACGTTGTGGCCTCTTTAAAAAGCAGCTCTTGTGCCTCTTGTGATGTCATCAAGCAAAGCAGAATTATCAGAATTTTATTCTCTGATCTTATAAAAATAATATCTTTTGTTAAATCCTGCAGTGGAAACAGTGCTGGTGTGTTTATGTTGTGAGTTTACATCGTGTGTTTGCACCGCAGTGGGTAGTGAGTTTTCTGGGGGGTCCAGAGCGGATTTGGGCCGCAGTCATCCAGAACAACATGGCTGTTTTTTTCCCTCTTCGTTCCTCCCAGGCTGATCCAGGAGGAGAAGGAGAGCACGGAGCTGCGGGCCGAGGAGATCGAGAGCCGGGTCAGCAGCGTGGCTCTTGATGCCTCGTCTCTCCCTCCGTCCTCCCTGGGGGGTCGGGACAGCATGGGACGGGGCTACATGACCCCGTCCATCACGTCCTCCACCCTGGCGTCTCCGTCGCCTCCCAGTTCTGGACATTCCACCCCTCGCCTGCCCCACTCACCCGCCAGGGAGACCGAAAGACAGGTGCCGCCTCCCGGACCGGGCCAGACGTTATTGATGAACTATAATATTGTGTTCTTGCCATTTCCATAATATTATTTAAAATGGTCTCAAAACAACATTATGAAAGATTACTAAACTTAAAATTCAAATGAGCATCAAAGCACCATATTGATAACTTTCAGGTAGAAATAGAGAATTGATAAATCATGCAGATGGATATAATTGATTTATTTCTTATTGCCATAGGGTGAACTTTTCATTTTTCAGTGCAGAATTCAGAAAGTATCGTATTGGGTAACGAATACAGAAGATTTTCTAAAAAGTATGTATCGCCTTTACGGACCAGAACAGAAACCAACTGGTGTAAACTGCTTGTGTCAATTTCACCCCATTCCCAATAATAAACAGGTTAAGAAACATGAAAACGAGCTATATTTACATTTTCAGTGTGTTATGTAAACACATTCCAGTTAGTTTTTAGTTAAAAATGTTTGCTCAATTCCAGTTTCCATTATTATGTTAGTTTTAGTGAAACCAGCAGAATCTCTGAGTGTAAGTCTAGTGAATATTTTCCGATTTGCAGAATAGCAAAGAGGGTGAGGAATGCCGAGCGCTCGCCCTGATCGACTCCACCCCTCCGCCCGTCCCCAGAGCGCTGCGCTTGGACCGGATGACCCACACACACCCGGGAGCCGGCCTGGACGACCACCGCGAGTTCCGCAGGTGCAGAACGGAAACCCTGCTGTGATCGAGGCCCGCTGGCCGTCACCGTACTTTAACTGTTCCCCGGTTGTTTCAGTCTTTCAGCTGATGGCGCCACCACAGCGAGCCAGGATTCCCTTCACAAAGCCAGCAAAAAGAAAAGCATCAAGTCGTCCATCGGCCGTCTGTTTGGCAAGAAGGAAAAGGGGAGAATCGGCACGTCCGGCCGGGAATCTGCCTCTCTGGGTCTGTGGACAAACTGGAAGCTGATCTGCTGTCTGTGAAAGTCATGGACCAGTTTTACAGAGTGAAACTAAAACAAAACTTTAAAACATAGAATAGAATAAACTTTATTGATCCCCAAGGGGAAATTGCTTATTCGTTGACAAGCTACGCCATCTAAGGTATTAAATATTAATACAACAAATATAACCATAAGAGATAAAGTTTATAATATACATACAAATACCTAACAGTGATGGCAGTAATTCAATATGACTGAATGTAAATAAATAAACAACAATTTTTGCATGGACATGCAAATATGTTAATCTAAAAGTTATCTATAAATGAGTGCAGAGAAAATTAGAATTAATTTATTTAATTCTAATTGGGTATTATAAAGTTTAATGGCTGCAGGCAGAAATTACTTCAAAACCGGAAAAAAAAAATCCTGATAAAGAATCAAAATTCATGCATGAAAGGGTTAAATATGACTGGCTACACAAAGAAAAAGAATTGAAGTGAAGTGAAAAAAAAACTGCAAAAGGAAAAGTTATTTTTAAATACTTGACGTAATTCAAATAAATATTTAAAAATGGATGGATATGCAACATGCACAAATTTTTTTGTATTTTAAAATGTATCAATAACAGACATTTTAGCAATCTGTCGTGTTCAACTTATATTTTGGGAATTAGTAATTCAATGTACAAAAGATTTTTTAGCATTTTTCTTTTAGTTACGGCGAGTTTTCCGCGCAGAAAACTTGCTAAGCCTGGTGGTCGGCTCCTCGGGTCGTCATTCATCCAACGGCCTGCCGTGTTTTTGAGTTAAAAAATGTTTAACGTTGACAGGAAATCTGAAAATATCACTTGACAATCTTGAAAGATTGGAAGGTTAACGCCTGAACCCCAACTATAAAGTCTTAAAAAATGCAAACACGTTAAAAAGACTTAAATAAGTAATGTTTAGCCTGGCGGGGGTGCAAGTAAAGCCTGGTGGCCCGCCAGGCTCTGGGGGAAACCCTGTCGTATAGTAGCAACATGTTGCTTTTCCTTTATAAACTTGGTTATTTATCCATCTGTGGGCTGAAGCTGCTGTTTTCTCCACAGCCTCCACTCCGTCCGATGACCTGGGCTCGGCCGACCCGCTGGGCCTGGCGAAGCTCGGGACGGGAACGGTGGAGAAAGATCGGCGCAGCAAAAAGAAGTGAGACCAAACGTCTTTCGTCACTCTTCTCATGTTAGAAGAAAATCTCTGAAGCAGATTTGTTGATCGCAGATGAGTGACACCGAGCGACGCTATAAAGTGACATCTCATGTTGACTGTCGTTTATAAATGGAAACATCTGACAGGCGAGAGATGAAGAAAGTCAAAAATCTCTTTTCCACTTCCTTTGCCAGACATGACTTGCTGGAGGAAGCCTGTCGTCAGGGTCTTCCTTTCGCCTCCTGGGACGGCCCCACTGTCGTCACCTGGCTGGAGGTACGCATCGGCCCCGGTCCGGTTCAGATGCTGCGCTCACTCACTTTGCTTTACGTGGTTTAATGTCATCACTTAATACGCTTCCAGCAACTATATCTGTCTGAAAACCCAGCTGCCTGTCATCACTACGGAAAGAAATCTAATAAGTCTAATAATTAAAGGAAAAACCAACATAGGCCTGAATTTCCTCCTGATTTCTATTATATTCTTTTCTACCTTTGCTTCTTGTAAAGCTTTTACTTAACTTTCCAAGTTTAGTGGATTCTGATTATTATTCACATGAATTAGAAAATACAAACAAAACCAGAAAACAAGCACAGCAACAGAAAAGCACTTTGAGATGATCCAGTTGATTTTGGTTGCTGAGTATCTAAATGTTGGATTAGAGTTCCCATCATTCAGAGTTCACACTCTCTGTTTGCCAAGCTGTGGGTCGGGATGCCTGCGTGGTACGTGGCGGCGTGCCGCGCCAACGTGAAGAGCGGCGCCATCATGGCCAACCTGTCGGACACGGAGATCCAGAGGGAGATCGGCATCAGCAACCCTCTGCACAGGCTGAAGCTGCGCCTGGCCATCCAGGAGATGGTTTCCCTCACCAGTCCGTCGGCGCCGGCGAGCACGCGCTCCGTAAGCCCCGGAGGAAAACCTCAGCAAATCTCTGCTCTACGCGTTCAAACGAAAAGTTTTCATTCTCCCTTCTGCTTCTGTCTTTACAGTCGACCAGTAATATCTGGATGACGCATGCAGAGATGGAGTCTCTCGCTGCCGCCACCAAACCAGTAAGGACTGCATCTATTGCTCGCTAAAGTCAGGATTATGTCAGAAGTTTCTGCTTTGAGGTGCTCAGATAGAAGCATGTTTTTAGCTAAGCGTTATGTTGCAAAGTGAGCAATATGAGTAAAGCTTTTTTCTTTTTCTTTGTCTCTGATTAGGAATGTTTGGCTTCACCTTTTCCCTGCTGTTCCCTGAAATCTGTTTTGATGTGTTTCTCCAACTAATTCCACTCACTAACAAAGCTTTTCCTTCTTCTGCTTTTCCTCTCCCCTCCATTCTGTTCTGGCACCGATTCACTGTAACACACACGCGCACACACACACCGAACATCACACTCCTACCTGGTGATCTTCCCTCTTCTTTCCAATTCTCTTTCCCTTTTTTCATCACCATCTTTTTGAACCAAAAAGGAGCAGAAGGAGTTCAGCTGGGATCAGGTGAGACTCGCTTAAGTTTAATGTAAACAAAATTCAAACATTTTTTTTTTTTACTGCAAAACAATCTTTAGGCATGATTAAGTTGTGCGCCTCCTGCTGGCCACTTGAAGCACTACAGATTTGGGTTAAAAACCCCATTATTAATCCAAAGTGCTTCTTAATGAAACTATAACTGTTGTGACAGTGTTAGGAAAAAAGATTAATGCATTTCTTCCACAAAACTAGACAAATCTATCTAGAAAAAACTTCAAAGTTGCAAAAACTGAAAATGTTTTACTTTTGAAAATTTTTTCACTTTATAATTTGTTTTCAAGAAATTTTCTGAGATTAGTTTTCTAGCAAAATATATTTTTTAAATTTATAATGACCCTAATACATATAATCTCAATTAGTTTTAAGTTGAAATTTGTAGCACAAAATCAGAGAGAAAGTTGTCCTGGTGCATTCAGTAAAGTCAAATAGCAGAAGAAAACGCCGCTGTTTATTCCTTTACAGTCCGTTACGGTCCAGTTAAAGCAGTGGAAAGCTTTTGTGTGAGCTTCTCTTCAGGAAGTGTTTGGTTTTCTTTAAGTCAACCTTCCTGCCTCCCAGATTCTGGCCCATGGAGACATGAACCACGAGTGGGTTGGAAACGAGTGGCTGCCCAGTCTTGGTCTCCCTCAGTATCGCTCCTACTTCATGGAGTCACTGGTGGACGCCCGCATGCTGGACCACCTCACCAAGAAGGAACTGAGAGGCCAGCTGAAGATGGTGGACAGTTTCCACAGGTGAGACAGAGACGTTCCTTCTCTCTTCATTCTGAATGATGCTTTGAGCAGAACTGAGTAATGTGTGCTTTGCTCTGGCGTAGGGTGAGTCTTCACTACGGAATCATGTGCTTGAAGCGGCTGAACTACGACAGGAAAGAGCTGGAGAGGCGGAGGGAAGAAAGTCAGCACCAGAACACGGGTCAGTGAAGATCCACTCCGGCCCACATTTACTGGCTCCTCTGGGAAAATGTGCAGATTTTATTCTCATGATAACCGTACATTCAGGGCGATCAGTCAGCCTGACAGTCATGCCGGAGTACCCAGAGAGAACATGCAAACCCCACAGCCAGGCCGGGAATCGAACCCAGAACCTTCCTTCAGCAAACTGTGCCTATTTGCTTATTTAAGTCATTTATATTGAATTAAGAACATGAATCTTGTTTGCAGAAAATCTCTAGGCCTGTCACAATTAATAAATAATCACATGATAAACTAAAACAAACTTCATTTCCATTGGTATGATTTATGGTTTATCTCTTTTCTTTCTTTCTACCAAAAACTGGATGATAAACTTTTTCAGTTTGGTGCTTTGGTCTCAACCAGCTTTTATTCTGAATTTTATTTATTTGGAATATCTAAAATGTCTCTCCAGTGTTAAAAACTGATTAGAATTGAAAGTTTACTGATTTTTTAGAATGTGCTCCAGCATTGCTATGTTTCCATTACGTCACTTAAAATGGTCTCAAAACAACATTATCGTTTATTGCAATAACAACTTACCGTCCAGCAAAATTTCTCATTGTGACAGGCCTGTAATTTCACACAAAATGCACTTTCTTCAGGTAACGAACAACAAAAAAACTTTTAAAAACCCCGACATCCTTGCTGATCGGTTAACTTCGGCGGTTTGCGACGTTGCCGTTTTCAGAACGGACTCTGCAGCCGTTACGCAAAGACCAGCCAGTTAACACCGGCAGCGTTGTTTTAAAGAGTTTTTATTTAATACCTCCAATAAGATTTTAACTGCCATTTTCACTGTGTAGCGATCTCCTCAACAGACGTGAGTTTAAAGAACCGGCTTCTCCCTGCTGCCTCTCTCCAGATGTGATGGTGTGGTCCAATGAGCGCGTCATGTGTTGGGTTCAGTCAATCGGTTTGAAGGAGTTTGCAGACAACCTTTTGGAGAGCGGGGTGCACGGGGCCCTCCTGGCACTCGACGACACGTTCGATTACACGGACCTGGCACTTCTTCTTCAGATACCAAATCAGAACACACAGGTCTCATTGCTTACACTCCTGCTCGTCTCGTTTCAAGATAATTCTCATGTCCGTCTCATAAATCTCATTGTGTCAGCTGCTGTCTGACCAGGATTTCTGTTCCTGCAGGCGAGGCAGCTTCTGGAGAAAGAGTACAATGCTCTGATCTCTATGGGAACAGAAAGGAGGCCTGATGAGGTACGATAAAGCCGACTCAGCGGAAAAACGCTCCTCATGAAGGCTGAAGTGTGACGTTACTGTAACCAGCTGATTAGGTCCATTTTACTTGACATCAAAGTTCATTTTTAAAATTTTTTCCCCTGGTCATGAAAAGCTCCAGTTCCCTGTTATTTATAGAGAAAACCATTTGGGCTCCAGTGCTGCTGTTGGCAGGCAGCAGAGGTTCAGCTGTGTTTACATGGTGCTAATTGCTTAGGACACAAATCTAAACCGTCTAAAAGAGAGTGCTTTGTCACATGCTGGTTTATTAACAGGCTGTAGTAGACGTCCTCTGCTCTGCATGCTGCTTTTCTTAAATCACCTCCATTTCTTTGTTTCTCGCAGGACGGCACGAAAACGTTCACACGCTCCCCGTCTTGGAGGAAGATGTTCCGGGAGAAAGATCTCCGCGGCGTCACGTCCGATTCCTCTGAGACGTTACCTGCCAACTTCCGTGCCTCTGCCATCTCGACGCCCTCAGTCACGTTGAGGAAAGTCCAGAGCGAAGGTGAGGAGTTGCAGCGCTGCATGCTGGGTAATGACAGTTGTGTTTTAAGTGTTTCAAATTAGCCAGGGAGCAACACAAACTCAGGTTCACCGACAAGCCGAAGTCTCGGTTCGGATTAAATGAACTGTGCAACCATGCGTATGTGAACGTTAGAAGGACGCTTCAAAAGCAGGAAGTAGACTACAGCACGGTGCATTCTGGGTAAATAAAACCAAAACAAACACAAGAGTTGATCGCTAGCAGGAGAAATGGCTCGTGCTCTTTTTTTCTCCAAAGACAAAAAGGGAAAATCTAAAATCTGACGCTCTCCATTGTTGCTCAAGTTTTGTAAAGAAGGAAGTTCTGCTCACTGTCTTCTTCAGAGGGTTTGTCGTTTTTCTTCAGCGGTTCTTGATGCAGCGCCCCTACAGGCGAAGGGAGGAACAGGTTTTTCAGAGGGTTTGGTTCATTTGACCCGATGCAGGATGAAAGTGAACCGCACCAACTGAACTATCGGCTGTGAAAACTCTGAGAAGTGTTTCATGATTCTTACTGCAGTCAAAATCTGGTTGAAAACTCCTGGAAACATCCAAATTGTGCAACTGGAAACAAATATGTAGTTCTACTCCTCAGTTGCACTGATTATATGACATCCCACTAAAATACAGCCATGCTGGTGGTGACAATGCTGCAACCAGGCCTGTCACAATAATCAATAAATGAATGAATTGCATGATAAATTAAAACAAACTCTCTGGTGATTTGGGCTCAGCCAGCTCTTATTTTGAAAGACAGTTTTGTTTACAGAGACTTCATGATTCATTTTATTTGTTTTGTTTATTTATTTTGGGTAATTAAAAAGTCTTCCAGTTCCAATGTTAAATGTTCATCAGAATTTAAAGTTTATTGATCTCAAAATGACAATATTTACGCCGATAACTTCTGGGACAATTTATCATCCAGCAAAATTTGTTATTATGACAGGCCTTCCTGCAACATGTGAGAAAACTCATGCAGCATGAATGCTGAGTAAAACCTGGACGGGTCGTCGGTGACTGATTCCGACTCTGTTAATAATCCTTCTCCTCTTTCTCAGCTAACTCCGGTCCCAGAGGAGAGTCGGGTTCTGTGAGAACGTACTCCTGCTAAAGATAAGCACACCAGGTGAGAACCTCCTCCTGAAGCAACAGCACTGGGTCACAGGAGAAAAAATTGACATCATCAGTTCATTTCCACTAATATTTGTCATGCAAAAAAAGTTTTAGGAGAAAAAAAATGGTTTTCTTACAGAGTGCATTCATTAAATGTTACAAACGTGGATTTCTGTAAACCAAACAATAAGTACATGTAAACTGAGCATGACGTCTTCGTTGTGATTGAGCAAAAAGCAAAGCGACTGTTGGATTCAGCTCATCAAAATGACTCAAACAGTTGAAAAACCCCAGACAGTTTCTTGACTGTTGACCAGTGTAATAACACTGAAATGTTTCTTTTATTTCTCTTCTTCTCTAGAACCCACTTCTACTCCAACCTAAAGAAAAAAAACAACACATTTTTTAAGAATAAAATACCGAAGAGCAAAAGCAAAAACGGACACCAGAAGACGACCGACATCATGTCCCAAAATAATCAAAGACAGTGTGTGAATGATTTCTGAAAAGATGAGGAAATAACGAGCGAATGTCCATTTATCCACCAGTTTCTCTCTCTCTCTCTTTCTGTCTCTTCCTCTCCATAGTTGTGGCATGATGATGACGTTTGAATCTGTAGAAAGTGGTCTGTAGAAAGTGACCATCGCCTGTCGTGAATTCATCTTCTTTCTCTGAACGTGAGACGGCAATATTGACACAACGAATTTACGATTTAAGAAATGCATTCCTGTTCAGATCGAGTGAAACGGTCGATGTATTTTCAGATGATCTGACTCTGAAAGGAGAAAACACTCCGATGGAGAACTGACGTGTGTGTGTGGGTGTGCGTGTGTGTGTGTGTCTGTGCGTGGGTGTCTGTGTGTGTGTGTGTGTGTGTGTGTGTGTGTGTGCGTGTGTGTGTGTGTGTGTGTGTGTGTCTGTGTGTGGGTGTGTGTGCGTGTGTGTGAGTTCAGAAGCCATAGAGGAACTGAGATGCACAAATGTGAACAGGACCAATGATAAGAGTTGGAAAAACTCTCATCATGAGAAACTCCTGCTCCGACCGGGATTTAAAAAACAAACAAAGCGTTTAGATAGGGAGCATTTGTGTTAATATGCATGCCAAAATCTGTCATTTCAGAGTGAACTTCATGATATCAATCATCTAAAGATGTGGAAGCTCGGGTCAGGACTTTGTAAAACGTGTGTATTTTATTTTTATCATTTTTATGATAACTGCTATTGTATGTATGTACAGTTCGTATGTGTGTATTAAACCGTACGTTCATTTCATACTCAGTTTTAAGGCTGACTGTAATTTCATTTTGCGGTTGATAAAAAGGAAATATGTTTTAAACTCTGGACATTTAAGATATGCTACTTGTATGTGTACATTTTGGAGAAGAAACAAAAAAAGAAACGCATTGTGTTATGATTTAAATTCATATTACTGGAGAGTAGTGACATAATATGATGACAATAATAAAAATGATTGTAAAAGCTGTAATTAAAAAAACATACCTGTAATGTGGCAGATTGGAGTTTTTGCCTTATGTCTGATGAAGAAGTTTTTTTTTAATTTTGTCACATCTGCACTGAGATCTATGAAAACGGGGCAAAAATCAAATATTAATTTAATCTGATCTCTGATTTCCCCATGGAAATACCTCACATCAGTCTGCTTATCACAAATACAGATGTGATATGAATTGTAGCTGAATTGTTGAAGCTCAGAAGACATTAATTCAGAATAATACAAGCTTAAACTTCAAACAATCTGTAAATAATAAATCCGTTTGATTCTCATTTACACCAGATAAATGTAAATTATAACTTTTCCACTGTACAAAAAAAAAGATGCATCTGTTGTGTTTCTTGCTGAAAAAGACATTTTGTTTGCGTGCTAACGTCATGGAGTTAGACTGTTACCTTATTTCTGGTGAGATAAGCATGGATTCTGTTTGAATACACATGAACATGCCAAAGATTTTCAGTTAAGTTCGGTGGAGGACCTGTGATGCTGTGGGAGCTGCTATCATAGAAACTCGATCATCTCTGATAAAGAGCTCAATATGGTTTATTATTGGAGGTTTTTAAAGGTTTGTGTATCATGTTGTTCGTGTCTTTTATGCAAATATATCAGGAATCAAACTTATTTTGCTCTGGTGACATCAACAGCCAATTTGCATGATAAAAGTATATTGTTGCAGTATTTTGATAACTTTGACATCCAGAATAGTTCAAAGTTCTGCAAAGATGAGAGCTGGGGAGCGGAAAACCAGTGACATTATACTGAGGAATAGAAACAACAGAAATCTGAACCAGACCCCAAAAAAACCTGAGAGAAATCATTTGAAATGCACAAATAATCAAAGTATTTAAACATCCAGGGAGAAGCCAAATGATTTCATTGGTTTAGTGCAATCGACTGACTTTAGATTCATAAGAGCTATTTTCTAAACTGATTAACTTTATGCTCACAAACAACACCGGGAGTCACCTTGGCGATCTGGCCGTTTTCTCCCTGCTCGAGTTTTTGTTAACATCCAGGGCATTTATATGTGCTAAATTCACATTCCTCACTTTTTCTGGTTCATTTGAAACAAAGATTCAAGTTGTTTCAAAAAGTGATTCCAATGGAGACTTTTTTATGAGTGAGAAAAACCAACCAGTGTCATCTTCACCTCTTTACTTCCACAGAGCTCATAAATGTCCTGTTTAGATTGTCTTTGTAGCAAAATGCACATTCTGTCCTTGTTTATGAAGCCGCACATCTAATTCCAAATGATTTTCCTGAGAATTTGGTGAGGGATTTCTTAAAAACGTAATCACAGATATTACTTCATTGCCCATATATGGTAGTGCCTTCCTGTTTAATGGGCATGACTAAAGGCTCTTTGGGCTGCAGAAAACGGCTTTTTAAGTTTCGATGTTATTTGCTTGAAAATAGAAATCAATACACTGTAAAACATTAGAAGGTGGTTTAACTTGAAAATGAAAGACCATCTGCTGCCTCAAGAAAATTGTTTTGGTTTTAATTCAGAAATTAAAGTTCATGAAGTTGATTTAACAACAAGAGACAAGTTGTCTAATCGTCGTCTTTAAGTTCATTAATCTTAAATTGAGAGTTTTGACTTAATGCTGCAATTTAAACCAAATAATTATTTCACAAAATGCAAGAAAAAAACTGGCCTCACCCAGTTAAAGAGACACATTTCTCTATAATTTTACTCACAAGTTAAAATAACTTATTTTACTGTAGAATCCTTTAAATTCTAGTTTCATATGAACCAAATTTCTGATCTGATGATGAATTTTATTAAACATCTCAATGATTTCAGCTCAGAAACATTTAGTGTGATCAGGACATCATCCTGTCAGCTGCACTAAAATAAACATTTGCCTTAATAATGTAACGCACTTCCATCTCAGGAGACGGAAACACGCCGCTAAGCATTCTGGGAAATAGTTCCCATTCTTTTTCTTCTTTCAGTTTTTTAAATGTTAGCCTAAAAACTCTGTTTATTCAACTCTTAATGAAAAGTTAACACAACTTTTTATTAAAAACTCACACACTTGGGTTCAAAATATTAAAGTAATTAAATTTATTAGGCTAAGAGAGTAGAAGAGACACAACTAATCACCATCTGCATTTTTACAGTGTAAAAATGCAGATGGTGATTCATCTTTCTTATCTTTCTGTATTTCTTTCTTTAAAATGTGACAATAGATCACCTTCGCAGTGCAGACATCACTGTCAGTCTGCTGTGATGCCAGGCGGCGAGTTTCCAGCCTGACGTTCTGCGTCTTTCTGCACAGCTGCGCTCCTGTAAACACTTCCCCTGCTTGGAAATCAGTTTCGACCCACTCCTTCCTTCTCTTTCTCTCTCAAACACTCGTACATCAAACAGAATAAACACCATAAAGTCCAAAACACGACCGACGTCACTTCCTGGCAGAATCGCTCGCCACATTTCTGCTGCGGCGCGTGACGCAGGGAGAAGAGTCAGCGCCGCATCTCCCTCCTCAGGTCTGGAGATGTGTTTATTTTCCGAGCGGAGGACTGCAGGGGAAGGCACGCGAGCTTACAGTAAATGTTGTGAACGTGACAAAAGGATCTTCATCACTGGAGTGATGCAGCTGCGTTGCTGCGCGTTGAGGTAACATGCAGGACATAAACACTGACTACTGCATCAAATGTGGCAAAACATTTCACTTCAAGGCTTTTTGATGTTTCTGCTTTAAATTGTCTTGTTAAAATGCAACAGAATCGATTTGGGAAAAGTGTTTGGACCACATTATGGGAACACTGGTCCAGGTGTTCACTGGATTCCAGTTTGAGCAGCTTAATGTCTGACTCACACACTCTTGTGAAGTTGGACCTCCTTCTCCTAACCCCTTTATAAAAGCACCAAACTTCCTTCATTCCAGCAGCAGCTCACACAGAGTCAAGAATTTCATATTTATTATTTATTGTGGATTTTTCTCCCAGTAGCTATTATTATTATTTATTTTGTATTTATTTTATTTAACATTCCCTTGTATTCGACGTCAAAATGTTTTTGTTTCCAAATAACCACCCTGCCTTCCCGTTCCCCTTCCTTTTCTTCATCCTCTCTCTTCCCTTTTCATGGTCGTTTTACATCCCAGAATCCAACCCAATCTTTGCCTTCAGGAATCAGCTCAGAGAGGTGAATCTCTACACAGGTATGTACAGAATTTATTCAGAATCTGGAATTTAACAAAAGGAACGGGGATGTTCAAACATATTGTTGATAGAAAGATGAATTTATAAGACGTTTAAATTATATGATAACTTCTTTCTGATCCTTTTCACTCACGATTTTATCTGTTCATATTTAAGTGAATTAAATAAAAAAATGAGAGTTTATTCATTTTAATTCTGCTGATTTCTTTCTGCTGCAGAAAATCACAGACAGGGTTTGTATGTGGAGATACATCTGGATGGGAGAGTGACTGGAAGTGATGCTCTGAGTCCTTATAGTGAGTAACTGAGTCATTAAAACTTAAACAATATGTAAAAACAGATGAAAAAATATGTACAAATACAGAAACCAGCACATTTTTTTATCTCACATTGCTAATTTCCCTTAACATTTTATCTTTAATTTGAATAAATGTATTTAATAGATAAAAAACTAACAATTGTTTCCAACAAAAATGGTACAAATGTAACTGGAATTAAATATGTTTTGAAATAATGCTTCACTTTTTAGAGTTGATCAGATTGTTTAGGGAGTTTAATTCAGGAATCCAAGATTTTCTGTTTCTTCTACACTAAAAAACAACATTTTATAAAGTATTTTGATCGAGTTTCAAGTGAAAATATCTCTGGACATTTGAAATAAGACTAAATTAATTTATAAGTAACTTTTCAGCAAGACATGGAAGCTTGTTTGAAATCAATTTTTGAATATTGATGAAAAGTGCAGAGTTTTTCATAAAGTCAAATATTTTAAACAAAATTATAAGCTTAAAAAATCATTCAGAATGCAGCTAGTACTTTTTAAAATCAATATTTATGAATTATAGACTTAAAACAAGCTCCTGAACTGTGCAGAGATTGCTGGGTTTTTTTAATTTTTTTTATTTATTGTTTATTATTGTTATATTTGTGTTTGTGTTCTTTGGGGACTATTATTTAATGAGAATCTGTATTAAGTGTGTCACTGTCACTTGTTTTTCTTTTATGTTCTAAAATTTAATAAAAGGGTTAAAAAAATAAAACAATCTCCTATTTCTTGTTGATTAGTCACTTTTAGGTTAGTTTAGTCTTATTTTAAGTGAACTAAGATGTTTGCACTAGAAACTAGACAAACTCTTGGTCAGATTATGTGTTTTTGAAGTGTATGAGATGACAGAGGCTCCTTTCTCCTGGTCAATCTTGAAAATGGGAAGATGTGATTAAAGAGCGTAAAAATTGGAAACAGATTCAAGTGTCATTGAGGATATCATAGAAGTTGAAAAAAAATCTGCTGAGCTGGAAAATAGCATTTTCAGAAGTTGAACTGATAAAATGAAAGCCAGAAAACTGAACCTGTTTGTTTGTCCAGGTGTGCTGCAGATTAAGTCTGTGAAACCGGGTCATGTGGTCATAAAGGGACAGACGTCGTCCCTGTTTCTCTGCATGGACGACGCCGGGAATCTAAGAGGACAGGTACGATAGAGGAAAGTTCAAGAACATTCTTTATTCTTATTTTTTCTCTTCTGGTTCTGAAACTTTTAATGGTTTCCACTCATTTCAGAAGGCCTTTTACGAGGCCGACTGCTCCTTCAGGGAGCTGCTGCTGGCTGACGGCTACACGCGTTTCCTGAACTCACAACACGGCATTCCTTTATCACTGGCATCCAGAAACTCTCCGGATCGACACTCGGTTCCTTTCACCAGATTTTTACCTCTCAGGAATACGTTAACGGTTTCAGAAGAATCAACAAAGACTCAGAGGGACTTCAACCTGGACTCGGACGACCTTCTGGGGATGGGACAGAACGCGGTGGTTAGTCCTCAGCTGCTCATGGACTAAAACACAGAACCACAAAGAAACCAGAACTGTTTGGGTTTTAAAGCTCTGATACATGATTGTCTTCTAATTTATTATTATTGTTGTTGTTTTTTAGGATTGTTAGATGTGATTGATACTGACCTAAGTTATTTATTTATTTTTGTGTCTTATTTAAAGCTTATTTTAATTTTTATTCATTGTGGGAATTGCTCAGATCTTTTGAGAAAATATGAATCATTTCTTTTCCAGGTAAAGAAATCCTGGAATTGCACCACTGTATTTGTGCAATTCCATGTTTTACTTTCCGTTTTCTCTTTGGTATTTGTAATGCACAGCAGTGATCAGAACCTTCTTGCGCAACAGAGGAAAAATGCCTGTGTGGGAGCAGGACGCCCTCTAGTGGAAGAAACTAATAATGAGCGCGAAAGTTTGATGTTTTATTTTTGCTCATTTCTGACTGATTTGTGTTTCAGGAAAGTAAAAAAAAAATCTTAACGACAAATTTTATAAATTAAATTGTAATTTATGAGTTTGTTAAAAATAAAATAAAAATTAATCTGATTTAAATCTCTGGAAATCTCGAGTTATTTTCCTGTTTACTTTTTTTTTTTTTTTTACAATAATCACAGACAGACATACCTCCTTTTTTCTACATTATTTAAAGTGACAGAGAGTTTTAGCCTGTTTTGTCATTACTTTTACCGTCAAGTTATGAATATATTGTCTTTTTGTTTTGAGAGATGCCAGAAGTGGTTATACTAACTGCAACTCTATGCTGCCATTTTATAAAGCTAAAAAAATGAATAAATAAAAGATAAATAATATTTATACTTACAATAAAATATATATAGCTGGTCAGTCAGCATAATAATTATCCATAATGTGGGTCAAATTAACACCAGTTGTAAAGATGTCAATAATCAAAACAATGGTGATTTTGTTGAAAACTATCCTCTCTATGCACATGACCAACTGCTTTGACTCTTTTCGTGCTCACCACAGCACTGAGACTGGCCTAGTCAAAGTATTCAATGATATCCATATAAATACGGACTGTGGGAGATCCACAGTCCTGGTTCTGTTGGACCTCAGTGCAGCTTTTGACATATTACTGAATCGACTGGAGAGTCGGGTCGGACTCTCCGGTTCGGTGCTCGACTGGTTTGAATCTCACATAAAGAACAGGGATTTCTTTGTTTCAATTGGAAACTTCTCATCAAAGAGGTCAAAGGTCACATGTGGGGTACCCCAAGGTTCAATCCTTGGACCCCTCTTATTCAATATTTATATTCTCCCACTAGCTCAGGTTATAACAGGAAATAATAATATTGATAAAGTTAGTCACTAAGCTGCTACCAGGCAAATCTAAATCATCTTTGGAAAACTAAAACAAAAATGTCTTGACCTACTGGTGTGCTGATTTCTTCCCATGCCTTTAAATCACACTGGCGTCATGTTTTTCGTCGCCTCCTCATCTTTTGTAAACAGAGATTTGGATTTTATCCACCAAAAACCTCATTTCATTTCGTCGGTTCGGACTTTACTGGTTGTGAAACGGACAAGCTGAAGCCAATTACTAAAGTGGTTTATCGGAGCAGGATTGCCTTAGTCTGGATATCTTCTGTGAGTCTCCACTGTGATGTAGTGGAAAATCTGAAGAGTTTTATTGAGACAGAGGAACATTACTAGAACATTATCGGATGACAACCATTTGGCAGTTATCAAGACTTCTCTCTGCAACTCAGACATGAAACACCAGGTCTGATATGGCAGCCTAAAGTTTTTTTTCATTTTTATTTTATTATAAAATAAAAAAATACAATTATTATATTATATTTGTCAACCCATTTCATTTCTATCCTTGTATTTTTACTGCCTACAAATGAAAGTAGCTTTCAAGAAAATTAGTAAAATAGTATCCTTGACAAAAACACTGAGCAATAAAGCATAAATTAAGGGTATTACTGCCATAGCATAACAAAGAGAGCGTGTAATTAAAGCAACAGACAAATGCAACCCTTGTATACTTTTCACAAAAGAGTGTTGAGAATGTGAAGTTGGATCAGGACAGATCCGTTGAGTCTTTCTACGGAGGCAGCTTCACTGCCGTTTGGCTGAGTTCTGTTGTGACGTATCAATCATCTGTCTCACTTGCACTTCAACCTTTAAGGCAAAAATAACTAAGACGTCATAGTTTCAAGGCACATACTTTCTGAAAGTCATTTTCATCCCAAGCTGGAAGCATTGCTACATGTTAGTAGGAGTTATTTTTATACCGTTACCCTGAGAATAGAAAGCTGTTGGCAGTTTGAGCTGTTCTGTGAAAAAGGCTTATCTTCGGGTATATATAGCTGACTTGTGTTGCTGAAAAGGACGATTAAGCGAGGAAGTAGAACCAATACAACATTTTTAGGAGGTATAACCTTGATTGTCTTACTCAAGGTGAGAATTTAAAAGCGTCCCTTTGGAGTTCCTCCAATTTTTTTCACTTTTGTTGCAAGAATTAGCTTATTTACTTGCACCTTTTGTGTCTTTGAATAAACCCGGCTCTCTCTACACTTGTGTAACTAGTGGTTCTCTCAGATACATGTTACCTCCTGTATACTCTGCCATCTGGCCAGTACACAGTCCGCCAAGCAAAGTCCCGTTGAGAGGGTTGCAGATTCCTTCAGTGGGATAAAATTCTGGATCTTGATATCTGTCCCCATCCTCAGTCTCCTCTCCTTCATGCTCCTCATCCTCCCACAGGGATGTCTGCACATGATTGTACTCAGTTTGACTTTCACATTCAGTCTCTCTGTGGTAGAAGTAGCTGAAGTTGGACACAATGACAGGCACAGGCAGAGAGATGGTCAGAACACCAGCAATGGCACACATGGAGCCAACCATTTTACCCCAAACAGTCGCAGGGTACATGTCACCGTATCCCACTGTGGTCATTGTGACAACTGCCCACCAAAAGCCATGCGGTATGCTGACAAAATCCGTGGTGTGGTGGTCAGCCTCCGCAAAGTAGACGGCGCTGGAGAAGATGATGACCCCAATGAACAGGAAGAAGATGAGCAGGCCGAGCTCACGCATGCTAGCCCGTAGTGTCTGACCGAGGATCTGAAGGCCCTTGGAATGCCGAGACAGCTTGAAGATTCTGAAGACCCTCACCAACCGGATGACTCTGATGATGGCCAAGGATGTGGTGGGAGACGAGTCGTCGTCTTTGGCCAGCTCTGTTCCCAGGGTAACAAAGTAAGGAAGAATGGCGCTGAAATCAATGATGTTCATGACATCCTTAAAGAAGTGGATCTTGCTGGGAGCGCTTGAAAATCGCATGATGAGCTCAAAGGAAAACCAGCATATGCACAAAGTTTCCACTATGAAGAAGGGGTCGGTGAAAATGCTTGGAGGAGGAGGCATGTTCTCTGAAGAGTTCCTCCCGTGGGAGTGGTATTCCTAAAGACGAACAGACAAGAAATACAGTACAAATTTGAAACATTTTGGAAAACTAAACAAGAGCACAATAACCAAACAATAATCCTATTAATTGGTATTAAATTAGAAACGCTAAAATGTTTTAAGAGTATTGCTCCAGAAATTAAGCAATGGAGTGTTTTCATTTTATGTCATCAAACTGGACGGCCATTTTGGTAGTATAGAAAAACTAAAACAAGCTAAGTCCAATGTTAACAAGTAAGCTAAAAATAATAACAAACCCCTTTAATTGAAAACCCAATCTGGGTTTTTTAGCACAGTTGAACCAGCTGTTTTCCTCCTACAGTTACGGAAACATTTTCAATTCAGGGGCAGGGAAATATTCTCATTATAATGTGATTTATAATTCATCAAAACCAAAATATGTTCTCGTTTGCTCACTGATTCTTCTCCGTTTTCTCAAACAGTCTTTGTACTTGTTAGCCAGTCTGGTGCTTTTATGGCCAAAAGCATCTTTAAAATATTAAAAAAATATATCAGAAGTTTGTTTAAAACTGCTTTACTAATCACCATGAGTATCTCCAACATGGCTGAAATGTGTAACTTTTGGAACTTGATGACATCAGTGAAAACACTGGTAGGAATGTTTATGCTAAGCTAGGCTAATTAATAGCAGGTTTTCAGGGTTCATTGTCAGCCTGAAGCACAGACCAATCAGTAAATGCACATCGGTCATCAAAAATATTCACAGTTCATCTACAAATTTCTAATAAGCTACGTTGATATTTACTGTTATTGCCCTTTAAGGCAGCATGCGAAACGTCTTTTACATTTAGCACTTTCTGAACTCTTCCTCGGACCACCTGTTGTTCCATCTGTCAAGTCATTTATCATCATATTTCTGCGCAGGATGACATGACACTGGGAACATGTCCAGTCAGAAGTACGGTGATAAACGACCTGAATATAGAACAATATGCGTTGTATTTCATAATGACATGTATAACATATATATACATATATATATATATATAGATTGAGAGAAGCTTAAATGAAGAGTGAGAATTGATGGTGACTTTCAGTAGCAGGTCGGCGACAGTGTTTATTACTAACGCTGGACAACTACAGTATGTGTTGATCCGCTCCATGGGTTCTCCTAATACTAAATATAACCCCTTTAAGATCTCTAAGGAGAAACATGAGTGTCTTCCTCATCCATCTACACCTTCCCTTCTCCCTGTTTAACACCACTAGTGAACAGCGGGCGTTCTGACTTGGACAGGAGAAAGTTACAGTGGTTTCCTGGCAGCAACGCCAGCCTGGCACAGCTCAACACTGCTGGAGGAATGTGTTAACATGACCCAGTGTATCCTGCTCATCCTGCAAGACCTTTAAATCATTGGTTCCAAGCCATCGGCGAGCTTTGGCTCTCACCCTTGCTCATGTGTACGGTCATTTGTGACCTTTCATTAACACACCTAACCGTCCCTTCGCTCTGTCTGTGTTCCAGTTCCCACGTGACACTCGGTGTACCCTTCCTGAATCCATATCAGATTTAACAGCCGGCTAAAATAATCACACCCTAAGCTTCCTGC